GCACCAGGAGGCTGTCGGGTGTGTAAGTCTACGGTAAACACCAGCCATGTTTCACTATGTTACTGGCACCAGGAGGCTGTCGGGTGTGTGTGTAAGCCTACGGTAAACAGCAGCCATGTTTCACTATCTTACTGGCACTAGAAGTCTGTCGGGTGTGGGTGTAAGTCTACGGTAAACACCAGAATGTTTCACTATCTTACTGGCACTAGGAGGCTGTCGGGTGTGGGTGTAAGTCTACGGTATACACAAACCATGTTTCACTATGTTACTGGTACTAGAATACTGCCAGCTATGGGTGTTGTGTGATTGTACAGTAAACACCATCTGTGTTTCACTGTGGTATTGGTACTAGGATGCTGCTGGTTGAGGGATGTGTTTAGGACGAGAGCTCAGCGCCGCCATGATATCTCACAAATTAATGCTTTTATAACATCTACAGTTAAGCAAATATTAATGAGTTAGCAACTACAACAAGCACTCGCAGAAACCGTAGTCATGCACTCTTACATAGAAACATTTCTCCTCAATACCGCTCTTACTCCTTCTAAACAGTATGTCTATGCTTTATCAAATTTATGAAATCCGGCTACAAGAACAGGATTTCTGCCTACAGCGTAGCAGACTATGAAAATCGAGAATAAGATTTCTGTTTCCCGTGCAGTGGACCAGGTGGATTGAGAATAAGATTTATGTTTCCCGTGTACTGGACCAGGAAGGTCGAGAATAAAATTTCTGTTTTCCTTGTAGTGGACCACCAGGAGGGTCGAGAATAAGATTTCTGATTCCAGGGTAGTGGACCAGGAGGGTCGAAAACAAGATCTGTCTCCAGTGTATCAAACTAGAAGTGGAATATATTAGCTTACTGGTATGATAGGTATAATTCAGGGGACAGAGGAGAGGTTAATGAGATATTTAATTAATTTAGGCACGATAAGACGAGAAAGGGGAGTTCAAGAAGTGTATAAATCTAGGGAGGAAGGTGTAGATACCATCATGGAAAAACTTAAGAGAAGGTTGTGAAGGAGGTTTATGAGAATTAGAGATTTAAGCATCCTGCAGACATGTATATTGATTGAGTGCAGACATCTGGTTTTGGGGATATTACATGCTTCTGGAGTGTGAACAATGTAACATCTATGAAGGGAAAGTTTGTATTTGTGTTCGCTGTGCATGTTCTAATTTGACAAATTTATTAAAGAAATTTGGATATTAGAAAGGTAGGGCAGGAGGGGAAAGGAAGGGAGGGAGGGAATAATGGAAGGCAAGGAGCAGGAAATGCAGGAGGGACTGAGGGAGGGCAGGAAGGAAGGAGGGAGGAAGGAAAGACAGGAGGGAAGGATAGAGGGCATGAGTTAGGCATGGAGGGCAGGAGGGAGGGAGGGAGTGCTGGATGGAGGTAAGTTGAGGATGGAGTGTTGACACTAGCTACGTGTTAAGCTCTCGTGCGCCACCATCCATTTATAGCTCCATATATGTGAATATATTGTCTGTTGAACTACCACCCACACTACCACCCACACTACCACCCACACTACCACCCACACTACCACCCACACTACCACCCACACTACCACCCACACTACCACCCACACTACCACCCAAACTACCACTCACACTACCACCCACACTACCACCCACACTACCACTCACACTACCACCCACACTACCACCCACACTACCACCCACACTACCACCCACACTACCACCACACTACCACTCACACTATCACCCACACTACCACCCACATACCACTCACACTACCATCCACACTACCACCCACACTACCATCCACACTACCACCCACACTACCACCCACACTACCACCCACACTGCCACCCATACTACCACCCACACTACCACCCTCACTACCACCCACACTACCACCCATACTACCACCCACACTACCACTCACACTACCACCCACACTACCACCCACACTACCAACCACACTACCACCTACACTCCCACCCACAATACCACCCACACTACCGCCCACACTACCACCCACACTACCACCCACACTACCACCCACACTACCACCCACACTACCACCCACACTACCACCTACACTACCACCCACAATACCACCCACACTACCGCCCACACTACCACCCACACTACCACCCACACTACACCTACACTACCACTCACACTACCACCCACACTACCACCCACACTACCACCTACACTTACCACCCACACTACCACCACACTACCACCACACTACACCCACATACCAACCACACTACCACCTACACTACACCCACACCCACACTACCACCCACACTAAGACCCAGACTGCCACCTACACTACCACCCACACTACCACCCACACTACTACCCACACTACCACCCACACTACCACCCACACTACCCCCCACACTACCACCCACACTACCACCCACACTCCCACCCACACTACCAAGGTTATACACACCAACAAATGTATGTATATCAGAGTATATTCACTGAGAGTATACTTTGAATCACTATTTAGGGTATTTAAGAATTCTTAACTGGTGATGGACAAGTTACATGTAGCCTTAATAACTACTGTGCAGCTGATTAACTTTGAGGATTATCAGTCAAACAGTAACTTCATGTCTGAGAAATGGCTGTCCAGGACTCAGAAAGCATAACTCATCACTGATTCTTCCCGTGAGTTGTGAATCCCACGATCAAGCTAAATAATTAAAAGTATCCCATAGCTGGGTTGGTAGCGCACTCAGCTCACACACTGAAGTCTGTGGTTCGATCCTCTGTACGGGTAGAAACATTGGCATCCTGGGGACCAAACTGATCTAAGTTGCCTTAAATGCTCTGCATAACAAGGGGCTTTCTATATAGTATGTCACTGATGTAAGTTATTGTTTGTATTTAAGTTGTACCGTGTACTTGTAGAAATAAAGACCATAATTATTATTATTGTTATTATTATTATTATTATTATTATTATTATTATTTATTATTATTATTATTATTATTATTATTATTATTATTATTATATTATTATTATTGCTATTGTTATTATATAACTATTATTATTTTATTATTATTATTTATTATTATTATTATTATTATTATTATAATTTAAATTTTTATTATTATTATTATTATTATTATTATTATTATTATTATAATAATTATTATTATTATTATTATTATTATTATTATTATTATTTAATTATTATTATTATTATTATTATTATTATTATTATAATTATTATTATTATTATTATTATTATTATTATTATTTATTATTATTATTATTATTATTATAATTATTATTATTATTATTATTATTATTATTATAATATAATAATTATTATTATTATTATTATATTATTATTATTATTATTATAATTATTATTATTATTATTATTATTATAATTATTATTATTATTATTATTTTATTATAATTATAATATTAAATTATTTATTATTATTATTATTATTATTATTATTATTATTTATTATTATTATTATTATTAAATTATTATTATTATTATTTTAATTATTATTTTATTTTATTATTATTATTAAATTTTTATTATTAGTTATATTATTATTATTTTATTATTTTTATATTAGTGATTTTATTATTATTATTAAAGAACACTACAACAGTCTCTGAAGATTTATCGTTTAAATTCTATAATTTAGCAAAGTCGAGTTTTCTCCTTCATTAAGAAACTATGAAATATACTGAAACTCACGTCAAGATTAATATTCAATTTATTTTTCTTCTCTCAAATAATGGTTTTTAATTCAGTGAATTTTGTCCCTATGCATCACCAGCATTGTTTAATGACCGAACTAATAATAATAATAATAATAATAATAATAGTAATAATAATAATTAATAATAATATAATAATATATAATAATAATAATAATAATAATAAATATAATAATTATAATAATAATAATAATAATAATAATATAATAATAATAATAACAATAATAATAATAATAATAATAATAATATAATAATAATAATAATAATAATAATAACAATAATAATAATAATAATAATAATAATAATAATAATAATAATTAATAATAATAATAATAATAATAATAATAATAATAATAATAATAATAATAATAATAATAATAATAACAATAATAATAATAATAAACAATAATAATAATAATAATAATAATAATAATAATAATAATAATAATAATAATAATAATAATAATAATAATAATAATAATAACAATAATAATAATAATAATAACAATAACAATAATAATAATACTAGGTATACAGGTCTATCTAACATCAAAAATAGTACTGTATAGAAATCCCTTGTTATGCAGGACATTTCTGGCAAAGTAGGTCAGTTTTGTCCCAGGATGCGACCCACACCCGTCCATTAACATTTAACTAGATATATATATCTTTACAACAAACTCTCGACTAAACAAATTTCATATCAGCCAACACTTTGTGTGGACTTTCAGATTTAAATTTAAATTCTTAATTTCCAGTTACTGCATTTCAAAATAGTATACAATAACGAGAAAGTTAATTGGACAAACATTTCGGGCAAAACTTAATCTAGATTTTTAAGATTGTATATAGTTGGTTTTATTATATTATTAAGAGTATCTTGCCTCATTAAAAAATATAAATCACACTATTTTCTTCTTTAAAACTAGACTAAGTTGTCCCCGTAATACTGGCTACCTATTACCATTTTGATTATTGTATATTTCGTAATGTAGTGATTGGAAACAAACTCTAAATATAATTCTAAATCTAGAAATCCTCACAAAAAGCATTTACTGAAACCAAACTTCCCGCTAAAACACCCAAAAGCTTGAACTACATTGAACAAGCTTTAAAAATAACAAGAAACACTAATAAATACTATAACATGCCTGGAAACATAAAATATAAAAGTTATCTTAATGTTTGCTAGGTCAGGCTTTTTTTTAATGCTATTTAGTAAAAGTGGTCAAAGGAGAATTTATTACATATAAACAACAATAATGAGAATAAAATGGCCTCCAGCCCTCTGTCTCTAGTAATAATCTTGTTTATTTGCAGTTTAGCCATTGGTAAGTTGATATATGACTAAATATTTCTTAGATAATTGTATGTAGACTCTATATTAAAAGTTATAGTTAAATAGGTTGTCTATATAAGCTTAGAGAGTAAGGTTAAGTGGAGGGGCTGAAAGGGCATAACCTTGTACCCTTTAAGAGGGAGCCCTGATGCTGGTGAAGGTCCTTGATCCAGGGAGATGGAGCTCTCTCCCCTTCATTGGATCAAACTGATGACTTTCCACTCTGCAAGTGCTGTATGACCCTTATAGGTTTAGTATATACCCATGAATATACAAATAACTGGTGTAGATTATGTGAGTTAAGGCTGTTCTATACACATATCCCCTCAAGGAAGGTTCCTTGATGTTGGTGAGGGGCTCTTGATTTAGGGAATTGGATCTGTGCTCCAGTTCCCCGAATTAAGCCTGAATGCCTTCCACATCCCCCCCCAGGCGCTGTATAATCCTCCGGGTTTAGCGCTTCCCCCTTAATTATAATAATAATCTATACACATATGTTGTTATGTATGATAATCTTTGTATTTGTGTATATCTAAATAAACTTACTATCCTCAATATTCTATATCCACAGGTGAAAGATCTCCAAAATGAATTACTACAAGTCATTAATTGTTGATTTTGAAATATTTTTTGCTATATCTTTTAAGATCTTTATTAATTCATTGTCCAGTGATTTTGTTTTTAAGTTTAAGAACTTTTGGCTCACTGATTGATTGTTTTATTTCCAGATTCTTCACTCAGTGTAAAAGTCAAGGTCGAGCCCTCAGGATTGCCACTACAGAAGTATGTTGGAGACACACTCACTCTGACGTGCTCAGTTAATTATGAGAAGGAAGAAGAATCCAAATTCAAGATGAATTGGGTTATTCCAACAAATGCGTAAGCTATTCTCTGTATCTTTGTGAATGTTGCAGTTTTGTATTTATGACTACTTTTTGGTACTTATAGTAGAGCTATGCTCATATCCTGTCCTCTATAATTAGATGACTCACGAAATCGTAATGACACAATTTGAACCGCGGGTTCAAATCCCGCCCGTTGTATGGTTTATAATTAGATGATAATTTTTAGTCTTCAGTAACAAATGCTACCTCCTCTTAAATTCTATTAAAGTATTCTACCATTCTATATTTGAAGATAGCCCTTGTGGTTTAGTGCTTCTTTTTGATTATAATAATAATAATAATATATTTCAAGATACATTTTGACATACTTTTGGTAGTGTTTTGTTCTCATTTTATAATTACAGTACAGTAAAACCTTTTCTTTGTGTTGATGGTATTAAAAATTCTTGGCTGCCTAATTTCTGTATTTTTTTCTTTTTTAGTGTTATTTGTAGTAATCATATTTCCTTTTGTTCTATCAGTTGACATAGGCCTTTTTTTCCTGTCTTTCTTCATGATTTACATTTCTTGCTTTGGGAGCCATCTGCTTCCAAGATAGGGTGAGTCCTCACCCCCTCCCCAAAAGGAAACACGTTCAACATCATTCGCTTAACAGCAGTCTTGACAGAGGCACATACATACTGCAGTTAAAACTATTCTCCAAACAGCAACATCCACACACTTCCTGCAGAGTGTAGGCACTAAAAGTCCCATTTCCAGGATTCAAGTCCAGCTAGCCAATTTCCTTAAATCCCTTTATAAATGTTATGCTGCTCACATTTCAACAGACTCAAGCAAATTTCGATCTAACACAAAACTCCAACCATTCAAAATTTTTTAAAACCTCCTACCCCTTTCGGGGAAACCCCCACCTATATGTCCCCCAGACAATCCTTTTGTCATCCAAATCTGCCCCAGCCCATCTAAAACCAAAACCTCAGTAACCCCTTCCCCTCCCTTTAAATTTTCCTTCGTAACCTCCCATCATTTAATTTCTATGTCAGAATTCACTTTTGAAAGGTTAGACTACAAATTGTTCTCAAAAAGCTCTGTATACCTTACCCTGCCCCTCACTGCAACATTTAAAAACCCATGCTCAAAACCCATAGGTTTTGGTTACAATACATTGCCTTTTGGTTTAAATAGACAAACCCTCTTATTTCCCAAAGCACCTCAAAATTGTTACTTTTTGCCCCTCGTCTTTAGGGTTTCACCTCATCTTTCATGGGAAAATCTGTTAACATGTTTAATCTAAAAATATCAAATTTGTTCCTTTAAATTTTTTTGTCTAATTTTTTGCAGGCAGTACACCAGTGTATAATCCTATTTTTCCTAACGTATGTTGTGAACAGATTTTTTTTTTAGCTCTTCATAATACGTATACTGTATGTAATGTTGTTACAGAATATTCAGCTGTAGAAATGTAAATAAAAAAATATCCCAGATTTAAAAAATACTAGTAATTACAGAAATAAGACTTAAAAACTTATTAGTAGATACAGGCAAAGATGACAGAATAACCACATACCCTGTATACCTGGAGAGGGTTTCGGGGGCCAGTGCCCCCGCGGCCCGGTCTGTGACCAGGAGAAGTGGAAGTGGAAAACTTCCTCCGTAAGCCATGCGTGTCATAAGAGGCGACTAAAACCCCATCTCCAGTATAAATTACTAAATTTAGGTCACCTTGCCTTGGTGGGATATGGCCAGTTCTAAGATTTTATAGCATCATCAACAGGGACATCAAGAAGCTACCAGCATACTGGTGAAATATGATTTATGAGGAGGTAGTACATACAACAACCAGTGGAAATTACAAAAACTGTCAAACTAAACACTGAATATGTATAGAACACCATGAACATAGATCTGCTTCTGAACATACAAATAAATACAGGAACCACAAAAATGGGTAATCACATTTATTTAATTATATTTTTTTCATATTGTACATTGTTAACCCTTGATGCTTGTGAAGGGCTCTTGATTCAAGGAATAAAAGCTATGTTTTTCCTTGGCCCTTCAGGGGAGTAGTGCCTTGATGCTTATGAATTATGAAATTCCAAGGAATTCAAGCTACCCTCCAATTCCTTGGATCAGATATGATTACCTTCCATTCCCCACGGGTTATATGACCCCCAATGGGTTTAGCATTTATTAATTGTATAATAATTTCAGCACTGTATTATGTACATACCTTACTCTATGCCATTAATTTTTACTACATTTATTTTCAAACCAGTTTTCTACATTCTACATTTTTTTTCATCAAAATACAGAGTGTAACTTATGGGGGGAAACTAAAGAAGTGTAGATGTTGAAGAATTAGACACATGCAACATCTTAGTATCTATTTGCAGATGTTTTGCCATTAAGTGATTTTGTCAGTACAATACAAAGACATAATATGATGACTGCAGAACTATATACAAAAGATTAGGTAATCAGTCCCTCACCCTTGGAGTTGATGACCACCACCGTGGTGCTCTTCACATTATGTCCTTATGCGTCTAATTGTTCATCTTGTCAGTACTGTATACCATTCATGTACAGTGTTGGTGTTGTTCATATTGCATCTTATGTAGTTGAGAAAAAATTGCACCCTAATAAGAACTTCAATGTTTGTTTTATAGACAAGAACGAGTGTACCTGGACGAAGATGCTGGGCGAGCCAGAGTAACTGTTATAGACTTGGAGGAGACTGATGGAGGGAACTACACCTGTGGGGTTGAGGCTGAGCCTGATGCGCCAGTGAAAACAATAGTGTATGTTGTTATTTTGCCGCGTGAGTATCTGGCTCTTATTGTGAGGCCTCTTTTATCTTGTTCCTTCATTATTACTGATGATGTCAATATTTTAATTAAACTCACCTAATTATATTCTGTCACTGAATTTTGGGCTTTCTTTCTATGTTTGTTAATTAATATTATATTATTTGAGTAAACTCCCTTCAAGGGGTATACCTCAATGCTACAGGACTCTTGGTCCTAGAAATTGGAGCTACCCTTTCCTTCCCTGGATCAAACCTGATTATCTCCCATTCCTCAAGTGCATTATGTCCTGGACAGGTTTAGTGCTTACTCCTGAAAATAATAATAATTAATAATAATGTAAGTAAAGAATGTAGGGAATAGTGGTCTCATCTGCATCAGCATTCCATGTTACATCACTGGGAAACCTAGCTAGTAGAAGCCCCACCTTAGGGTCATTCTTGGTTTCTAACAAGGCAAATTTGCTGAATCATACAGAGAATAAAGGGGGTCTAGTAAATCAATATTTCTGTATGTTAATCCATAGTTGTACGCTGACATATTCAATACTGTTATTATGGTGCTGTTTTTTGATGAGCACTCCATTGCTTTTATACTTTCTTGTGCAACATTTTCTTTCTCTATAGTTTGGTGTGAAAGTGCTCATGAATTTCTTGAAAGAAGAGGTACTCAGGAATTATAACAGACCTAAGAAATTTTATTATTACTACACTTTTAATGTAGCAGCTGTCTCTCACTGAGGCAGGGTGCCCTAAAAAGAAAAACAGAGGTTTTTATTTTTACATTTAGTGATTTATACAGAGAAGGGGATACTAGCCCCTTGCTCCTGGCATTTTAGTTGCCTCCTACAACATGCATGGTTTACAAATTAAGGATTTTTTTCCACTTCCCTATGGAGACCATTATTATTATTCTATTTATTTATTTTTTTTTTTAGTACATTTTTCCTGTAATTATGCATTAAAAACTGAAGAGAGCTATGTGGAGTTTACCTGGAGAGGGTTTCAGGGTCGATGCCCCGGCTCGGTCTGAGACCAGGCCTCATGGTGGATCAGGATCTGATCAACCAGGCTGTTACTGCTGGCTGCATGCAAACTGATGTATATGCTATTTTTGTATGTATTTTTTTTTTTTTTTTTTTTTTTTTTTTTCAACAATTCGGCCGTCTCCCACCGAGGCAGGGTGACCCAAAAAAGAAAGAAAATCCCCAAAAAGAAAATACTTTCATCATCATTCAACACTTTCACCACACTCGCACATTATCACTGTTTTTGCAGAGGTGCTCAGAATACAACAGTCTAGAAGCATACACATATAAAGATACACAACATATCCCTCCAAACTGCCTTTTTCCCCAACCCTCCTTTAAAGTGCGGGCATTGTACTTCCCATTTCCAGGACTCAAGCCCCGACTTATAAAATAAAGGGGGTTTTCCCTAAACCCCCCTTCACTAAATATTCCCCTGCTACACCCCCAAAAGATCTCAGGTCCCAATACCTTTGTTCCATTCACTCCTATCTAACCGTCACGCACGCTTGCGGGAAAACCCCAACCCTTCCCCCAAAAAACCCCCCTTTCCCCCCTTCTCCAACCCTTTCGAGGACAAACCCCCACCCCCCCTCCTTCCCCATAGATTTATATGCTTTCCATGTTTTTACTGTGATCCATTCTCTCTAAATGCCCAAAAAACCACCTCAACACCCCTTTTTGCCCTTGCAATACTTTTAAAAACCCCCCCTTTCCCCAAATTTCCACATCCGAATTTTTTGCATAATATTTCACCACACATTCCCTTAGACGGGGACATCCCCGCTGCCTCCAACCGTCTCCTTGTGCTGCTTTTACCCCCAAAAAGCTTACACCCTATAAGAGTGTTGGTTAATACTTTCATACTTCCTTCTTTGCCCCCATAGAAAAACGTTTTTTGACCCCAATATCCTCAACGCACCACTCACCTTTTTCCCTCTAAATTCTATGATTAACCTCACCCTTCAAAATCCACCCCCGACCTTTAAACCCCCAAGTATCTAAAAAACATTCACTTTTTCCCATACCCTCCTCCCCAATTTGATATCCAATTTTCTTTTCTAAATCATTTTACACCCTCACACCTTTTCCCTTTTTTATTTCACTTTCAACTTTCTACCTTTCACAATTCCCAAATCATCCACTAACCCCTTTTCAATTTTTCTTTAGAAACTCCCATAAGCACAGTATCACAGCAAAAAATAACTGTGTCAATTCCCATTTTTAAAATTTATTCCCATAATTTAAACCCACCCCTTCCCCAAACACCCAGATTTTTTCTTTACAACCCCATCATAAATTATTAAACAACCATGGTGACATTACAATCCCGTCTAAGACCTACTTTACGGGAAGTCTCCCTCTTTCTACACACCCCAACCCGAGCCTCACTACCTCATAAAAATTTTACAGCATTTAAAAAATTACCCCCTATTTCCCTATACTTGCAACATCTGCCACATTTCCTCTATCCACTCTTAAAATTTCCTTTTCTAAATCCAAAATCAATAAAAACCCCCTATCTTTATTTAAAAAAAGTTACAATAGCTTTAATGTAAACACCCCTACACATCCCTCCCACTCTAAAACCCCCTTTCTCATCCGCAATCCTTAAATTTTGTTTACCCCTAATTCTTTAATATAACCCTCCGTACACTTTTCCTGGTATACCAGTAAGCTTTTTCCTCTGTAATTTTTACGTCTCTTTTGTCCCCTTCCCTTTTTATAAAGGGACTAACGCCCCTGCCAATCCCAGGGACCTTCCCCCCCTTTCTACTTTATTAAACCCAAAAGTACCAAAACCCTCCAACACTATATCCCCCCCTGCTTTTTAAAAATTTCTGTCATGATCCCCTCATTCAGTGCTTTACCCCCCTTTTATTTTACGTAATGCCCCCGTACCTCCCCCCCCCTTTCAATTTTTGCTTTCTTCATCCTAAAAGAGGTTACCCCCCTGACCATGCATGAAATTCTGCCCCTGTTTTTCCTTAACATTTAAAAGTTCCTCAAAATATTCTCGCCATCTCCCAATACCCCATCTCCCATCTACTAACTCCCTACCTGTTTTTTAATGACAAATCCATATTTTCCCTAGGCTTTTTAACTTGTTTAACTCGCCCCAAAATTTTTTTTATTTTCATTAAAATTTCTTGACGTGCCTCTCCCACCTATCACTGCTTCCTTTTGCACTCTCTCAAACCTCTTTTCCTTTCTTTTTTCTCTCCATATACTTGCTCTTTTATACACTTCTGCTTTTTAAAAACCTCTCTAAGCTACCTTTTTCTCTTTTTACACCTTTTCTTTTCCCCTTTCCACCAATCACTCCCTTTCCCCCTGCCCCCACCCCCTATAACCCCAAAAAATTTGCCCACATTCTAAAAACTGCTTTTTAAAAAATATTCCAACCCCCCCTTAACCCCCCACTACCCTCTTTTGCATAGCCCCCCTTTCTGCCAAAAAGTCGCTTATATCTCACCGAACTTCCTCTCCCTTAGTTTATACACCACTGACTCGATTTTTGTTAAAAGTGAGGTCATATACTTAGATTTTTTTTGTTTTTTTGAAATATTTCTGACATAATACATTGGGTTTTCCTTTTTTTAATTTTACAAAAAAAAACCACCCCTTAAAGGGGCCCTTCCCCTTCTCAAAGCATTAAAATGGCTGAGGAAAATTTTTACATGGGGCCAACACTCAGCCCACTGATTTATCCATTTAACCCAAGGGGTCACTTGAATGACTACGACTCCCCACTTTTAGGAAAAACAAAAACGTTTTGGCCACAGCATCCCAGAGGCTACTGCTGCTGTCTTTTGAAGTTTCTGTTTCTGGGGATTTTTTTTTCCCATTAACTTATTGGCGTTTGGGGGGGGTATGTCAAAATTTGCTTCTAAAACTTTTGTATCGGGTCACCTCTGTAAAGGGACAGTGATTATGGTGATGGGGGAAAAAGTGTTTGAATGATGATGGAGTATTTTTTTTTTTGGAGTTTTTTCCTTACTTTTTGGGTCACCCTGCCTCGGGGGGAGAGGGCCCAAACTTGTTAAAAAAAAAAAAAAATTGAGACTTGAAAAAAAAAAAAAAAGCACACTTTCGATAAAAATTGTGTTGTGATTGAAAAATAAAAGCATAAAAATTTAATACTATCTCATATAAAAACAGGTTTTCATTTGATTAGACTTTAAACAAAAAAAATGATCTGCGGGGCCCATAAAAAATACTTTTTGTTTTTTTTTTTTTTAATTTACAGCCTTCTGGATCAGGATCGTATTTTTGGGGAAGCAAAAAAAGTCTTCCCCAAACAGGGGAAAAAAACCAACCAGATTCAAACACTTTTTTTAGGGGTTTAAAATTAGCTATTTTTTTTGGGTTGTTTAAAATTTTTGATTCCAAATTTAAGTTTTTAAAAAATTAGGGGGACACAACAAGTAGTAAAAAAAATGAAAATATTTTAAAGGCTTCTAAATTTTTTAAATTTTAATAGGTTTTAAATTTGTCTTCAAAAATAAAACCCAATTTTTTACCCCTTTTCCAGTTTTTTTTTTTTTTAATTTTAAATTTTTTTTTTAAAAACAGCCCCCGCAGGGTCAGCAAAAAAATTTTTCTATACTAGGAAGGGGGGCCCTTGGGAAAAAACTCAATTTTAAAAGAGAACTAGGGAAATTTTTTAAGCAGTTTTTTTTTTTTTTTGTTTTTTTTAAATATCATCCATCAACCAGGTGACCCCTGGCCCATGGCTGGGCTCCAGGATAAAGACTAGAAACTCATCAAAGGTATATCCAGGTAAGGGGAGGCCCTTTTCCAAAAAAGGTTTGAAGAAGAAACAAATTTTTCATCATTAACCCCCCATGTCCCTTTCCCGTGACATGTCCACACTACAGTTAAAAAATGCAACATATCAACACCCCTCCTTCAGAGTCCCCGGGGCCCGAAATTTTTCCCCCCTCCAAAATTCACTTTCCCGGGTTTTTGGGTGTGAGGGGGGGGGGGGGCTGAAGGAAAATTTTTGGGGACTTATTTTAAACCCCCAAAGGGACCTCTCCTGAGGGTTTCAGTGGGTGTTTAAAAAAACTTTTATGTTTTCTTTTCGCTTTTTTAAAAAAACCCCCCACTCTTACACTTATTTTATATTCTGTACTTTTACCACATGTAACTTGGGTAAAAATTTAATCTGGGGGGGTATCAAGAAGTAAGTTCCCAATTTCTCCCATGTGTTCCTTTTTCTTCAAATAACCCAGTAAATTTTATAAGGTGCAGTTTTCAGGAGCATGCCCACCAAAAGAAGTTTTCTGATTACAGTGATATAGTCTCCCAACCAAAATAAAAATCAAATCAGAAAAAGTTACAAAATTCAAAGTTTATTTTTTTATTGTTTGCAGTTTTTTGTTTTATTTTCCTCTAGGGAGTGTTTTTAAACAATTTCCCTGCCCCCAAATTGCTGTCACCTTCAAAATTTTGTAAAAATACTTTTAATTTTTTTTTTTTTTTGTGGGGCTGTTTTTCTTTGTTTAAAATGCATTAAAAAAATGTCGTTATATCTCACCCGAACTTCCTCCCCCCTTAGTTTATACACTTTCACTCCCTCTTACTTGTTGTTGCCACCTTCCTCTTTTCCCATCTACCTCTTACTCTAACTGTAGCTACAACTAAATAATGATCCGATATATCAGTTGCCCCTCTATAAACATGTACATCCTGGAGCCTACCCATCAACCTTTTATCCACCAATACATAATCTAATAAACTACTTTTTGTATTCTATTATAAAAATTGTTTTGACAATAAGCCTAAGACTTAATTTATTTCAGGTGGACAGGTGTCTCATTGCTCCGCTGATGCATTCAGTTGTGCCACCGGACACTGTATTTCTCCTCGCTACAAATGTGACAGTCGCCCTGACTGTCCTGATGGCTCTGATGAAGTTCAGGAGCACTGTGGTTAGTAGTTGTGAAATGTAGCATTTGAGCTATATTTATTATCTGTACCTACTTTCTCAAAAAAAAAAAAATGGGGTACATATGCCCTCATATGCATGTGCTTGACCTATTTAATTGTATATATTGCACTTGAATTTTATATAATAAAGAATATTAATGGACATCTTGTTAAGTTATCATGTACTTTCTTTCCACCTTAACATTCTTGAATTTCTGTTTTGAAGGAGTTGATCCTTGCATAGATAAGCTTGCCTGTGAAGATGGACGTTGTCTAGCTCACAAAATGTGTTGCCGAGAACGAGACCTCTCTCCACCAAATTGCACCATAATGGCTACAATACAGTGTTGTAGACAACTTGTGCATCCTGGTAGGTATTCAGTAGATTATTAATTATGTGCCTTGTTTTGAGAATTAGGAAGCCAGAATCATCTTTTCCATGTGTAGCTTGGTTGATAGCATCCTCAGCTCACACACTGATGGTTCAGGATTGATCCCCAGCACAGGTTAAATGTGGACATGTTTCCTTACACCTGCTGCCCCTGTTCATCTAGCAGTAAGTAGGTACTTGTGTGTAAGTCGATTTTTGGGGGTCACATCCTGGGGGACAAGATTAACTTTAATTGCCTGAAATGCTCTCCATAATTAGGGCGTTTTATGTAGTATGCCACTGATGTCAGCTAAGTCTGTATTAGTTATACCTGGAGTATACCTGGAGGGTGTGCCAGGGGTCAATGCCCCCCACAACCCAGTCCATGACTAGGCCTTGTAAAAATAAAGATCATTATTACTGTTATTATTATAATTGTTGCCTTCTGACAAAACTGTCCCTCTAGCTTTATTTACTTATTAAACCTTCAGTAAGCCCTGCACACGTTTGTGTGACTACATTTCTCCAGAATTCAGGAAACTTTGAAATGTGCATGTTAAATTAAGGGTCTTGGGAAAAAAATTGTTTGGTTCATAAAAACCCGTGGATAAACTATTTTGTATATAAATTCCATACTGCTAGGGTGTTTTTCAGAACAGCTTGTTTGCTATGCCAGGTCAGGGGACCCTGACTACCTGCTGCTCATTTATTAAAGTAAGGGAAGAGGCAACTTGTCTTGCATTAGTATTTTTCTTAGCCATTACTGCTTTACCAGTGCTGTGCTGCTCTCTCACCCACTGTTTCTGCTGACTCGAGTTTGTCTACATGTGAGGTGCATATACTTAGATATTTTTTGTATTTTTGCAATGATTTCTGGCATAATACATTGGTATGCCTTTTTAAGTTTATACAGAAATACCACACCTTCAGAGGTCTTCACCTCTCAAAGCATTTAAAATGGCTGAGGAAAACTTTACATGAGGCCAACACTCAGACTACTGATTCTATCCAGTAAGCCAGTGGTCACTGAATGACTACGACTACCACGTACACATCTGTGTTAGGAAACACCAACATCTTTGACACAGCATGCCAGAGGCTGCTGCTGCTGTCTGTGCCTCCTTCAAAGAGCTAATTGCAAAACAGAACAAGATGCCATGTGAAGATCTGTTTCTGGGGATTTTTTCCCACTAACATATTGGCAGTTTGGAGGGGTATGTCATATTTGCTTCTAAACTGTTGTATCTGGTCACCTCTGTGAAGACAGTGATTATGTGTGAGTGAGGTGAAAGTGTTGAATGATGATGAGAGTATTTTCTTTTTGGAGATTTTCTTACTTTTTGGGTCACCCTGCCTCGGTGGGAGATGGCCGACTTGTTAAAAAAAAAAAAAAATTGAGACTTGTTAAAAAAAAAAAAGCACACATTCGATAAAAATTGTGATGCTGATTGCAAAATAAAGCATAAAAACTTAATACTATCTCATATCAAACAGGTATTCATTTGATCTGAGACTTTATCATAAAAAATGATCTGCTGTGGCCATAATATACATGTATTTATTTTATTATTACAGCCCTTCTGGATCAGGATCTGTATTATTGGGAAGCAAAGCCAAGTCTTCACCAACAGTGGAACAACCAACCAGATTCTACACTTGTTATGGGTAAAATTAGCTATTCTTGTTGTTGTTTCAATCTTCTGATTCCAAATGTAAGTTTATCAAAAATTAGGGAGACACAACAATGTAGTAAATAACTGAAAATAGTTACAGGCTTCTAAATATTTCATTTATGATAGGTCTAAATTTGTCTTCAAGATGAACCATATTTTTACTCTTTCCAATTTCTTTTTTTTAATTTATGTACATTAAACAGCGGCAGCAGGGTCAGCAAAAGAATTTCTATACTAGGAATGGGGGCTTAGGAATGACTATCAAGTTAGAAGGGAACTAGGAGAATAATTTTGAAGCAGTTTTTTTTTTTTTTTTTTATTAACATATCATCCATACAACCAGGTGAGCCTGGCCCATGGCCGGGCTCCAGGAGTAGAAAGACTAGAAACTCATCAAAGGTATATCACAGGTAAGGTAGGCCATTTTCCACCAAGGTAGAAGAAGAAACACTTTCATCATCATTCACTCCATCACTGTCTTGCCAGTGACATGTCTACACTACAGTTAAAAAACTGCAACATATCAACACCCCTCCTTCAGAGTCCAGGCACTGTATTTTCCACCTCCAAGATTCACATCCGGCTAATTGGATGTGAGGGGGGGAGGGGGCTGAAGGAATTTTAGGGGACTGATTTTACCCCCCAAGGCACCTCTCCTGAGCTACAGTGATGTTAAAAAAGCTTCGTGTTTTCTTGCGCTTTATTAAATACCAACCACTCTTACACTTATTTTATATTCTGTACTTTTACCACATGTAACTTGGGTAAATTTAATCTGGAGGTATCAAGAAGTAAGTCCTATTTTCTCCCATGTGTTCTTCACTTCACATAACCCAGTATTTCATAAGGTGCAGATTTTCAGGAGCATGCCCCACACATAATGAGAGTTTACTGTATTACAGTGATATAGTCTCTAACACAAAATAAACTCAAATCAGAAAAAGTTACACAATTCATGTCTTATTTTGTATTGTTTGCAGTTTTTAGTTATATGTGACCTCTAGGGATGTGTTGAAACAATTGCACAGCACAATTTGCTGTCACCTTCAATTCTGTAATAATACTTAATTTTTTTTTATTTTTGTGGGGCTGTTTGCTTTGTAAGATGCGTTAATAAAATATCAGTGAAAAAACTAGCTTAGCATGTTTACTATACATTGCTTAGGAATGACATTACTGTATATTACATTTAATATTTTATTTTTATTCCAGGATGTATTGTCGCAGTTGCAAACTTGGTAACAGTTGCAATTATTGTGGGAGTGCGATACCATCTGTGGCGCTCAAATGGGACCTCCTCTCGTGCCCACTATCATTTGAATCGACTAAGGTCTGCAACTCTCCGTCCATTTGGTCTGGGCTCCTCTGTCTCCCCACCATCAACCACAGATCAGTATCAGCTGAGGTCAGCAGATAGCATTTACTCAAGAAGAATTCCAGGTTTGCGTTCTGATTTACTAGCTCCAGAAATCGTGCGTGAGCAGCGCCAGCAATACACACGTCAGCAGCGGCCATTTAGTGGAGGAGTTGTCTTGTGCCCTCCTTCAAATTCTCAACCTCCACATTACTCTCAGCTTCCAGTTACTCCTTCAGGTCCACCTCCCTCTTATCATCAGGCAAGTTATGCTTCTTGATGAAACGGCTGTCAGTTATAAACATCTTTCTTGAGGAACTGTTCTGGGTAATGAGTTGTTCATTACATCACCTAATTAAAACTTTCAGAGAGAATGAGATAGTGTAAACCAATTATAAGTTGAAAGTATCATAAATCAAATATGAATAGGATTTTTTATATTATTATTAACACATTGGTCATTTCCCACCAAAGCAGGGTGACCCAGAAAAGAAGAAACACTTTTGTCATCATTCACTCCATCACTGTCTTGCCAGAGGTGTCCTTACACTACAGTTATAAAACTGCAACATCAACATCCCTCCTTCAGAGTGCAGACACACTACTTCCCACCTCCAGGACTCTTGTCTGACCTGCTGGTTTCCCTGAATCCCTTCATAAATGTTACCTTGCTCATACTCCAACAGAACGTCAAGTCATAAAAGCCATATGTCTCCCTCACACACAAACCCTTTTCTACCCCCTCCCTCCAACCTCTCCTAGGATGTCCCATACCCCACCTTCCTTCCACTACAGTTTTATATGCTCTCCAAGTTATTCTATTTCATTCCATCCTCTCTAAATATCCGAACCACTGCAACAAACTAAATACCGGCATTGAAAAGTACATAAAAGTAAATAGAGGGGTTTGGGATATTGGCTGTTTGGAGTGACATCTAAACTGTCATATCTGGGAGCCTCTGATTATGTGTGAATGATGGTGAAAGTGTTGAACCATGATGAAAGTTTTTTTCCTTCTTTTTGGGTCACCCTGCCTTGGTGGAAAACAGCTGATTTGTTACAAGAAAAAAAAAGTATATTCCATCAATAAATGTACAGTACTAAATGTACATCACTATCACACCATCATAAAGGCGAAATATTGTAAGCCACACCATTGTAAAGCAAGGCTCATCTGTACTCTTTCTTCTGTAGTTCAGTTTTTTTTTTTTTTCAGTAAGATTAATTAAGAGCGGTAATAGGTACTATAATTTTGTATTTTACAGGTTGTCGGAGCACCGCCCCCTCCATACTCTTCTCGTGATGATCTTACCGTACCAAACTCTAGCGAAGGTTCGTCTCTCTCCTTGCTGTCGCCACTCCTCAACAATGCCAATACCAATATTAACAACAATGGAGACATCAATGGTAACAATACACCACACCTAACAGTGGTACATAACCATAACATAAGTCATGCTACAGCCTCCACATCACATTCCTCGCGTCACACAGGCCCACAGACTCGAGGTAATAAGTAAAATCCTATTGTAAAGGATTCTCATGCTCTTGTTTGCTTTAAAATGTATATGTTATTGTGAAAGCAAACTGTAGCAGCTGTGTGTACAAGAAAATTTTAATTAGTCACTTTTGATAATGCAAAAAATTAGACTTGAAACTTGAGGTCATCAATACTTTGTTAGCATAGGTATATGTCATGATACCTTAACTGAAGGTTAAATTTATCAATACAGACAAAATAAATTGTAAATATATCACCCAGTCAGTTTAAATAGGCTTTGGTAAGCTAATATAGGTCCATTACAGTGTCCCTTTCCCCATACAAAATGCAACGAGCAAAATAGAATGCTATGACTGGTAGTAATAAATAATAGATTAAGACGTAATTTAGATCTGTGTCTGTGTAATGAAAAAAATATTTTCTGTATGTAATGTGCAGTATAAATATAATTTGGGACGTTGCCATAAAATGAGTAAGCAAAAAAATCTTTTAAATCTGCTATGGACACTGGTACTGTATTACAGTACTTTGATAATACTATTTACATTCAGTTCTTCCATCAATTTTTATTACTACTTATTATATACTGAGTGCCAAATGATAATATTTGTAAGAAATTTTGTATATTACGTACATAAAATTGAAAGAGAGAATGGTTGTTATATCTGAATGTAGAATCTCCCAAAGTATCTTATTGTACACATGGGAAGCTATCTCAGTCAAGTGCATATATAATATATGCTTTACTACTCTTTTATAATGATGGATTATATTTTAAGCAAAATATTAATGAATAATAGCTGAAATTAGGATGTTTAAAACTCTGGTGATGGTGTTTTTCTCAATATTCTTCACTCCTTATTGTAACTAATCTTTACTAGATCTTTAAGTTTCCAAACATTTCTTATGTGAAAATAGAATTTATATGGCAGTAATTACCAGTAGATGCTGTTAAAAAGTGAAGAATTGGGCAAGATATTTTTCTGGAAAACTGTTTATCGTTTTATAAGTTAAGAGTCATTGCATTGTGTATGAGAGAGATTACCTGTTTGTGATAACTTGTTCATAATTACAGGAGCAGCTTTATGTGTGGTGTCCCACCTTCATTGTTTACTTAGTCATATAATTCCTAACTTTCCAGCAGATGTAACACACTCACCTTAACTGGGTCCCATTCCTGGATTCTGCTAGTGTTTGCAAAAGAAAAAGCTTTCTAGTATTTTTTTTAGGCACTACATTTTTCTTGATTTGTAATTGAGATACTGAGAAGAAAACTGATAAACGTGTCAGCGAGTGTTTTTTTTTTTTTTTTTTTTTTTTTTTTTTTTTTTTTTTTTTTTTTTTTTTTGTCACACCGGCCATATCTCACTGAGGCAGGGTGACCTAAAAAGAAAACAGAACATTTTTCTCTTTAAATTTAATCATTTATACAGGAGAGCGGGGTTGCTAGCCCTTTGCTCCCTGCATTTTAGTTGCCTCTTGCGATATGCATGGCTTATGGAGGAAAAATTCTTTTCCACTTACCCATAGAGAATATTGCATTTTCTATACTAAAATGTTAATCATTCTTATAAGTATCATAATACATCACTCAGATTGGCAGGTTCATCACTTTCTACCTTACCTTTCCTATACACAATAAAGGGATGTTTGACCATACGATCATGCACAAAAATAGTGAGTTGGCTCCCTGGAAAACTGATGAACTTACATACCACCTTAAAGATTGTTAAATTTGTTTAACAGTGAGACTAGTTTGATCAAAGTTGTATGGTTGGTCATGGAGATATTGTTGCAAACATGCTGCACATGTTCGTAGGCGATCTTCTCGAAAGTGTCATTTGGCAAGTTCGTTGGTTTTCTTCTAAGCTCCTCAATTGTGGCCTCTTGTTCTAGTTTATGATGCTAAGAAATCATCTTTGTCTATTTTTGGCCCTGAAAGCCATTTTGTAGTGTGTTTGCACCTTCATTTTATATACATGTTTATTTTAAGGTTCAAGCACCACACTTACTATCTGCATATTCCAATTTAGAACATTTGAACATTTTTTTTTAGTGCTGTATTTTATCATTCATGTATCTGAGGACTATTTTAATGTGTGCAAGTGTAGCATGAGTTTATCACTACTTTATATATAGTCTTTTCTCTGCGGGTGACAGTATTTTGGCTAGAATTGCTCTTAGATCTCTGTATTTGATACTTTCGGTATTTTATCACAATCTTAGATACAGGTACAGTACTTCGTCTGGACTGTACATTGGTTTTTTCCTATTGCCATCATTTCTATCTTTCAATAAATTATGTTATACCTTGTTAACTCCATTTATTTGATATATTATTCTTATAGGGCTTGTAGTAATTTTATTAGTTATTTTGCATGTATATAATCATGCCTATGTATGAAAGGTATACACCAGTTTTGATGCACTAACATGTATACATGTGTTAATGTATGTATACTTGCCTCTTTGGGTAATAATTTATTTGTATTTACAGGAGTAGAGCAATGCATATAGTGTCACAATTGAACTAATTTTTAATGTATATATTTTTTTATCATCTTGAGTGTTTGTGGCCTGCATACATTCGAGTTCATTCCAGCTATCCTGCCAGTTTTATTAAGGAAAATCTTTCATAGTCATTGTACCACAGCCGTATCTATTTTAGTTTTTTGTCTAAACTATATTGTAGAAAAATTATTCAGCATTTTCCTGTCCATAAATTAGATGGTTATCTTCATATTTACCAGCGATATTTATGATTCTTTTCACTGGTAATTATATTTTGTGGTTCTCTAATGATTTGTTGTCAATTACCCCAGGAACTTTTCTTTGCATGTGTTTTCTAAACTTATAATCTATACCCTATCAGTTCTTCTGAGTATTTTGTATGTTATGTCTCCCCTGGTTCTTCTGTCCTCCAATATTTGCAGGTTTAACTTCTTTAGTCTCTCCTCATAACTCATGCCCCTTAGCTCTGGAACAAACCTTGTTATATATTGAAAAATACACATGATATCAGTCATAAAAAACGTCTCAACCACAAATGGCGTGTGCATTTCCATTCAGTTATTTACTTTATTATGTGTTCATCTTTAAGTTTTATTTTCACGTGCCCACTGCAGCTCATCCTCCTAATAAACATCAGTATATCACTTTGGCTAAGAATGTCAAAATGTGACTGTGACACTTGAATGAAACTGTGATTATTTGATATTAGATTGTAACATGTGCTCATTGGGTCCTCGATTTTCTGTTCACGCTGAAAAACTTTTTTATCGATCTTATGTATTATTATATTTATTACCATTATGATATGTTATAGTTAAATTATAACATTATAGAGGACACTAACCTAACTTAACATAGCCTAACCTAACTTAAATGACATGTATTGTGAAATTTGCTCATAATTGTATGTAAGCAGCAGTCGACGTTTGCTTTAGGAGAATGGCTTATCCGCTAACATGCTTGTTTTGTTCTTAACCTGCTGGAAGCAAGCTTCCCAGTTGATCAGAGACCATGATTAGATCATGGAGAATTTATCTTATACCACTCCTTGTGCTAAATGACTCGTGTGGATATAGCACTTCATAAAATATGATGTACTGTACAGTAGATCCCCACTCATAACATCAGAGTTTTTTTTTTTTTTTTTCAGAAAAAAATTGTAAGTCAGTTGTTTGGGACTAGGAGCCTGTTTTCTCATACTAACCCTTGTTATAATCAGAGATGCATTCCTGAGCCATTATGTTTCATATCTTAATTTCATTTATTTTTTAATTAAGAATATTTACCAATATTTTACATTCAATATTAGACATTTTGTTCCAATTGTGTCATTATGATATTGCCTGTAATAATACGTACGATTATCTCTTGAATGTCCATCATTAATTTTAGAAAAAATTGCACCAACTAATGGTATAAGCAGCCTCAAGTCTTAAACCATTTGACATACAATTATGTTTAAATTTTTCATTGGTTCCTATTCTCATGTTTATACTTCTTTGCTCAAATAATGGCTAACTTGAAGACATTTTCTATATCATATGCTTATGATATGTCATCCCCCCCAAAATTTCCCTCTGAGGATTCAGAGTACATTATTGACATTAAGAATTCATTTTGCATCGCTATGTGACGCATCTGCAATAGGTGAAGAAGTAAGACATTTGTGCCACATTTGAAATCTAAATAAAGATTCACAAATGTCTCATTTTTTCAACTTGTCAGTTTTCTAAACCATTTATATCATATCTACAAAAGTGATTGGTGAATCTCCACAAAGCACAACAGTGTCCCCTTGGTGTATAAACCATCAATGTTGCAAGTTACATTTTACAGCTAGTTTAAGTTATGAGTGCAGCGTGATGCCCAAGGCCAAGCAATGTCTGACAAGGCATTGATGCCTGATCGTAAGTATTTTCTCATCAACTTACATTTTACTGGGAATCTAGTAGTATTTTTTATTGCCATTTTGTTTGAATAGTTTGTGTAACTTTTGTTGTTGTTATTGTTGCTTGATGTCTTTATTATGCCCCTCATACCCATCCTATGGGTGGGCACAAAATGGGTCGAGGGACTGGGTTCTTAACATTTGTGTTTACCAAGCAAGTTAAAATAGTAATGAACAATTTACAAAAGTTATTGAATTCAAAACAAAGTAATGAATATTTTCATGAATTTAGTCACAAAACATAACATTGTAATGTAATAATGATGTAATATGGTTTTGCTTTATTAACAGTTGCTCTCTCCTTGACCTTACAATGTGTATGGTCAGGGAGAGAGCAAGAAAAGCAAATTAGTTCTATCAGTTGTACAAAAGTTGAAAAATAGTGACATTGTGTGTCTGCCATGATAGTACATGCAGTGATATGATACACTTTTTTTTTAACACACTGGCCGTCTCCCACCAAACCAGGGTGACCCGAAAAAGAAACACTTTCACCATCATTCACACTATCACTGTCTTGCCAGAGGTGTGCAGATATGACAATTAAGATGTCACTCCAAACTGCAAATATCCCAAGCCCTCCCCCCTTCCGAGTGCAGCTAATACGTAATATGGTTTCTGTGATGCTTATTGAAGCTCATATTCACTAAGCTTTACTTGTACGTTCATCCAAACTAAGTATACTGTATCTTTTATGATGGGTACAGTGCCAGACCCAGCAGCTTATTGCTCAGTGCCTAAATGCAATATCATTATGTAAATTACATGAAATTATGCATTCCTTTTTTTTCTTACCATATCACTTACAAACATACAGTAAATAAAAATAATTATTGAAAATTTTGTATAGATTATAAGGCACAGCAAGTCACAGATAACCTACACTTAGAGCTATGATAATGTTTAAGTCCATCCTGGACCTTTGTGAAGTTACAACTTGGGTCCATCCTGGACTATTGTGAAGTTACAACTCAGGTCCATCCTGGACCATTGTAAAGTCACAACTCAGATCCATCCTGGAGCATTGTAAAGTCACAACTCAGATTCATCCTGGACCATTGCAAAGTCACAACTCAGGTCCATCCTGGACCATTGCAAAGTCACAACTCAGATCCATCCTGGACCATTGCAAAGTCACAACTCAGGTCTATCCTGGACTATTGTAAAGTCACAACTCAGGTCCATCCTGGACCATTGTGAAGTTACAACTCAGGTCCCTCCTGGACCACTATGAAGTTACAACTCAGGTCCATCCTGGACAATTATGAAGTTACAACTCAGGTCCATCCTTGACCATTGTAAAGTCACAACTCAGGTCCATCCTGTACCACTGTAAAGTCACAACTCTGCTTTTTTCTTGTATAGTTGTGGCTTGACAATGAAGTAGGATGGATTGAAATGTCATTAGAAGTTTCCACTTCTAAGTGCAGATTGTTCATGAATTGTTCCAGCCAAGGTATTATATGACTTACTGTTCAAGACAGTGTGACTTCTCTTATCACCTGAATATTACCCTTCATTATCATTATTAAAATATGAAATTACAGTGTATTACACATTTTTTTGTTTGTACCACATCATAAGGCAGTCATTAGCAAGCAAATGAATATAATTTTTATTATACAGTATAGAATATCTTATACAGTACACTGTACATATATAAAAAAAAATGTACTACAGTATGCAGGTAAGCAAAATAAAAATATTGTATGTAAACACACAGCTAATTGTTAGTCACACATGCATGTTTATTATGATGGGGAAAAAATTGTCTGGGAGTGGCCAATTTGGATTCATGCACTTGTAAAGTCAGCTTACACTTTTTTTCATCTTATTAAATTCTTAACAAAATATGCTGAAATGGCTACAACAAGTCTTGAAAAGGAAATAAATTATGATCTGTATTAAAGCAAAACACTTACAGTACTGCAGATATATCCAGTTGTCTTCATAATTACCAATTAAGAGCAGTTGAATAGGGATATCTAATTTATGGTGATACATACTTTATATTCAGGTATCCCTGACTTGTAGGATCACTACATGAACATTGGCTATCATGTGATATCCTGTATTTATCAGTAATTCCATATATTGAATATAAATTTGACATAAGCAGTCAATAAGATTTCCAAAATGCATTGAAGATTCTCATAATGAGGAATTAAGCATTGATGACCAGATTGACCTTATTACAGTTGCTGTGGGAATTAAATGCATCTAACAATTCACTCTTCTTCCTTTATTGACAAACCATCTTAGCTGTTTGTAGTCTCTTATCACTTGTCAGGCTACAGTGATGATGATGATTATTATTATTATTAGATCAGATTATCTCATTCGAGGTCTGACTCTCCTTTTCATGTCCTTCTGTTGTGTAACTATTTAATGGTCCAAATAGGACTGAACATCATTGTAAGGATCAGTCTCCTATGCACAGGTATCTGTGTATACTTCTACTGTACTATCATCACTGTTTTGTTTAAGATCTTATTTGTTCCATGACTAATTAAAATTTACATACTAACTTTTTTTTGAAGAAACCCATACAGAAATTTTTAATGTTTTAAATTAATGGACTTTTTAATAAATATAGTGACTAAAATTACTTATTGTAGATAAGAGCTTTGAAGTGTCTAATACACTTTAAACAAACTCAAACAATAGGATCAGCAATAAACAGAAATATGGCAATATAATATATTGAAGATTTGCTGCCCCTTTTATCACCATTTCTAATTTCTATCTTTAGATATCAATAGCATAGTTGTATTAAGGTCAACCATTTAAAAAAATTAATTTATGTATGGAAATATTTTTTGCTATACTATATGTACATGTATATACAGTTAGTGATTAATTTTTAACACATCAGTCATTTCTTATCAAGGTAAAGTGACCGAAAGAAGATGAAAACACATTCACCTTCACTCATTTAACATATTTTTTTTCGACGAACCAGCCGTATTCCACCGAGGCAGGGTGACCTAAAAAGAGAAATGAAAGTTTTTTTTTAAATTTAGTAATTTATACAGAAGCAGGGGTTTCTAGCCCCTTGCTTCTGTCAATCATTTAACATAAGTGATCATGAATGTGCTTCCTTCTTTTGTGTGCCTATTTTTGCAGAAGGAAATGCCAAGGTAGTAAAATATTAAGTACGCTCAGTACTTTTGATCCGTTTATATTTATGCTCTGATCCATCAAATATTTTTTTTGACTGGTTATGAAAAGTATAACTGTATAATTGGAGACATTAAAGGTCACTATAATTGACTGTTTTCAGTGTAGCACATAATACAGTAATGTATGTGTAATAATTTAGATTTTGAAGTAAATGTGAAAACCAAATACTGTATTTTAGAAAATAATTGTTAATAATGATAATCTTGACTCATATTTTTAATATTGTAATACTCAGACAGCTTGCATGTGTATATATATTTTAAATGCAATTATAAATGTGAAAGACTTTTAGAGAAAAATTTTGTATTAAAGTTATTTCTCTTGCTGCAAATCAGTTGAACTACTGAAAGGAGCACTGCTCAGAATGAAGCGTGAATACACTATTTCTAAAAGTTAGTTTTTTATGGGGTGTGGAAATGCCAAAAAGTTGAAGTTAATTGAAATTTCTGAACACAAACTCAAGAATGTAGTTATAGTCTCCATATACAGAGCACACTAAGTATGTTACATACTCAAGCAGCCTTTACATGTTAGCTGTATATTTTTTTAAAGGATTGTAAAGATTTCTATATCTAATATTCATTCTGTGCTGCAGAAAGTATACAGTAAACAGCATTTTCACACATTGAAATGGAAGTAAATGGATTGGTACATGTTCATACATGTTTATATGCATACATGCATCTTGTAGATTCTTGATTCTTTTAATTAATATTTGGAGTACATATTTGCAATATGTATGATTGCAGTTCCCTTTGCAGTTTATTAAACATAGGCTGAGTTTAGCCAACTTCAAAAATGTTGTATGTCATTTAATGTCATTTGTATCATTATGTGCCAAAATGCCCAAGGCCAATCATGCAAAAAATTAATTTATATTGTAGCGAGTTGTTGTATCCTCAGATGTCAATTTTTTATTTTAATTAGAAATGTTAGATTTTTGAAGTTGTTAAATATATACAGATGACTTAAATTTTTATATTTTTGTAACCTTGAAACAGATGTTTTACTAAAATATATCATAAAATGCTGTATTGAATGAACAGAGCTGATAAGGGTCTATAAGAACCATAATTGACTCAGTATGTAGTTGACTGGATAAAGTTGAATGGTAGAAATTAAAAATGCATAATAATATATTGTTTCCACAATGGTTGGAATAAGTGTAGAAAATGAACTTAACACCTCAAAGTCTCTAATGCTACAAGTCCTGATGATGAGCTATTGACCCTCACCTGGAAATAACAATATTGTTAACATTTGCTACATTTGAGTAATTGTCACAGTTAGAGGAAAGAGAGACAACTTTAGTTTTTCTTGAAGTGTGGGAGGAGAGGATATATTATGATCTCCTAGGTGCCTTATTCTGTTGACTAGGACTTTTCCTTAAGGTGGCTGAAGTGGCTAACCAAGAGCTGCTCCTGTATGTTTACTCTATGTGGAGACTCTTATATTCCATGTTTCTTCTTCCCTGAAAATTTATTCTACTCTTGGCAATATAGTCCAGCAGCAAGTGGATTAAAGTTAACCAGAAAGTTTGGCCCTGCTGAATCAGTCTTCTGATTATTCACTGCTCCTTTCCAATTTGGTGATTGGGTGTTGGTTCACTCTTGTAAATGCTGCCCAAGTGCACAGTTTGTGTGTTGTTGGTTTGCTGTCTGTTTTGTGGAGAGTGAGGTTGGTTGGCATCTAGTGGCTCAAATGATGCTTGCCTTGCCAGCAATTTCTGATGGGGCATTGTATTTAGCTGGGGGTCAAGCAGATACTGGTAGGTACACACACTTTTTGATCTTGTACCTGTCCCCAACCTCTTGAAGGTTACTTGCATACATGGTAATATATATAAATATGGGTAATAAGTCATAATTTTTTAATAAGTTTATATTTAGTTACTCTTGTCGCATCCTACAGTTTAGCTGTAACATACAGTATACTTTTATAAAATGTAAAAGTTCATGTCATTCAGAATACAGTACATAGTTATTGTTATCTTAATTTATGGGTTAAAAAGAATTTTTAATTTACCTCTTCTGTAAAAATAACTTTTTATTTTTTCAGCATTACAAATTAGACTGCCATAATAAAAAAAATTATTTACTACTAACATCAGTACAAACACTTGAATCTCATTCTAATGTCAGAAATAAGTTTTGCATTACTATTATTATTTCTCACCTCTGCAAAGCAGAGGTGAGAGAGATGGTAAAGTGGGAGAAGTGGAGGTGTTGAGGAAAGGACACCAAGATAAGGATCATGCATCAAAGTTGATGTAGCAAATCCATGTCAGTAAAACAATTATAATGAGAGTCTGCATTAGAGGTGAGATCCATCAGAGAAGGCAGACACAGTAAGCATGTCAGGGCATTAAGGAAAGCATCCGAAATGAAGCTGGTGCACACACTGATGGTCAAAATGATCTAGAGATGTTGGACTGTCAAGATGCTCTGAAAATCCCCAGTCTGCATTCACTTAGAATACTGAGGTCACATGGAAACAGTGGTGTTGAAGGGTGAAACCAATTTCCAAAGTGCCTTGTAACATGACTCAGTATGATTAGTTTTGAGGGGAAATGTTATAGCATTAATTTTACTTATTGAATGCACAGAATTTTGTAAATAAAAATGTCACAAAAAACACTGACCCTATGAGGGTCATTCAGTGCTGGTTTTGAAAATGACTTATTTGTGTATTGCTGTAAATGTTTGCTGGAAAATACACCTTACTGATATTGCTATTATTCTAAAATACTACACAAATAACCCATCATAAGTTTCTTTCTGCTATGTGCAGATTATTTGTGTACTGTTCCAGTCATGGTATTATGCCTTTTTGTTCTTTATTCTCCAATACTGTACCCATACATTAGTTGACAAGTATTATTGTTGTGTTCATGTTCTTCTGAACCCATGTTCATAAATCAGCTGACTACTGCTTCTGCTGTGATCACTGTCTTCAGGGGCCAAGACGAGTAAATGCCTTAAAAAAAATACTCTGATGCCAAGAAGTCCAGCTTTGACATTTCTTTAAGCGCTTCATTTCATTTATAATTGAAATTATTTGTAAGATCTATATTTGAATTGTATTGCTGTATGTAGATTGTACTTAGATCTCATTAGATATAGCTGTGGTGCCAGGGAAGAACTTCTTGCTGGTGTTGCTGAATAGTCTGTAGCTGCTGGTGATATACTCGTCCCATTTTTTCACCCACTTTGACATTAGTTCTGATTTTCTTTCATCATCCAGGCTGCTGTAACTGAAAACACCAAGGTATAAATAAGATGTTCAACCTTTTTCTGAAAAGTGTTAATGCCTGACCTATTCTTTATTATTATTATTATTATAATCAAAAAGAAGCGCTAAGCACCTATTCTTTATTGCCTTTTAAAATAAATAGGAACGTTATGGCTTTTACCATACAAAGCAATGACAACATTTTCAAAAATATTAATTTACCAGTAGATATCATATTATTTGCTGCTATATTTGCTGCATATTGTACTGCTACTTTACTGAATTCTGAAGGTTAATAAAAATATATACTGTACTCTAATAATAAAATATGTGGTATGTAATGATGAAGATTTCAAAGAACATTACAATTACTTTCAATTACAACAGTGAGAGGAATTTAAATAAAATTATATTGCTTAAATATATTAAGAGGTTTAGTATAGTATGTAACAAAGAACTTTAACACTAACACTGCAGTAAAAATAATTTAGTAGTGTACCAAAAACAATGACATCAGTTGTACCAAGATGCAAGAAATGACTATACTGTCCCTTAATTGAAGTGCCTTGATTGTGGTGAAGGAATTGTAGGCACCTTTCCCTTCCTTGTATCCAACCTGATTACCTCTCATTTCTCAGTCACTGTATGCCCTCTTTGGGTTTAGCATTTTCTCATGATTATAAGAAATACTCTACTGCACAAATACAATCATCACATGATGAAAACACGTGAACCCTGAAATTGATGCAAAGTAAGGTACAGAATATTTGAATAATTACGTGATGGAGTTAATGGCCAGTTGCTTGAGGAACCTGAGGTCAGCCTTGGCTCCTCCTAGTGCCATGAATGCCTCATAGAAGTCATAGGAAAGACCAGTGGCACCCCAGGAGCCAGGGTCATCAGCAGACACTACCACTGGGAAACCCTCAGCCACCAACCCAGCCATAGGGTGGTTCCTGAGGTCTGACACTAACATCAACACCTAAAAAGCACTGACATTACAACTATTGCATCACACAGTATTACTATATTTTCAGCACATGTTTAGTTAATTGTACAATATAATACATAATAATAAGTGGTAATAAACAAAGGACAGTAAACAGTACAGGCAGGCCCTGCTTTACAGCTCTTCGCTTTACAGCATTTCGCTAATGCAGTGGTTTTCGATTATGCCCATTCTTCATTTATTCAGATTTCCTACAATAAATATATTCACCACTCACTACAAGCTAAGGATGAAAATATTTGAAGTAATGTGTGTATTGTACGTATATGCATTTTTTTTAGGCATAGCTATGTTGCTCACTTAATATATGATAGTGTAAACATGGTATCAGGTTTTCTATGCATTTGATAGTGAAAAAAGACTGACTCACTTTTACACTGATTTCTGCTACACAGCAGTAGCCCAGGACCTAACCTGCTGCATAATATGTATGAAAGGCACGTTAATTTAGACATTTTAAAATGATGGGAAAACATGGAGCAGGATGTTATCCAAAAGTAATTTGATGTACTCCTGCTGAATGATTTTTGCAGTTGCTGATCCTCCATGCACAAATACCATATACACTACACAAATAACCCACACATAGGCTGGTTATTTGTGTATTGTTCCAGTCACGGTATTTTTCCTTTTTGTACCATATACGCCATAAATATGACCCATAAGAGTTTAGCTCATTTTTGTGAATATAGTAACCCACTGTAGGTACAAATGTAGGTGTTTACAGAACTCACCTGATTGGAAATAGGGCAGATTTCAAGAGGAATATCCTTATCAACGGCAAGCTCCCTGGCCTCAGGGTGCTTGGTGATGGCGTACCCATGGCCGATCCTAGTGGCATTAAGCAACAGGGCATCAATGAGGTTCTCATCAGTGCTCATCCCCATCCACGCTGCCAGCACAATAAAGTAAATATAGTTCTCTTTTTCTAACCTTGTTAAATGTCACTTGATCAGGAAAGTTGCACGACACAATTTTATTTATTCTTAAAATAAAAATATGTCCACACATTCGCATCAGCGGTTGTTGCTATGTTTAATCACAAAGCAGCTTCATAAATTTGAATATTTTAAACTGATTATGCATCTTCTCTAGCATATGGTAAAGACAGCACTGCATGACCCTTATAGGTTTAGTATTTCATTTAATTATAATAATAAACTAGCATAATTATAAGCCTTTGGATCTCATTTTTTTTAAATTTTAATGGCTTGTTTTGTAATGGTCCATTAATAACTTCATTACCTGTAGTGTTATAATTATAAGTCCTCGGTTAATAATCCTAAAAAAAAAAATTAAATAAATTATCCACTTTATATAAACCCTTAATGTCTTTATACATAAAGCAAGTAATTCGTTATTGCCATTGTAATTTTAAGTTAGTCTTAAGTTTGCCCAAAATGCTCCACATAACTCACGAAATCGTAATGACACGATTGCAAACAAACCATACCCCGGCCGGGATCGAACCTGCGGTCAGAGAGTCTCAAAACTCCAGCCCATCACGTTAGCCACTAGTGGCTAACGCGACGGACTGGAGTTTTGAGACTCTGACCGCGGGTTCAATCCCGGCCGGGGTATGGTTTGCTCCACATAATGGGTTTTCTGCATACACAACTGAATGTCACCCATTTCTGTACAAACACTATCATACTGAAATAAAATATTATTAATATTATTATTATTACCATTCTTTCTTTTTCAACAAGTCAGCCATCTCTCACCGAGGCAGGGTGACCCAAAAAGAAAATACTTTCATCATCATTAAGCACTTTCACCTCACTCACAATCACTGTCTTTGCAGAGGCACCCAGATACAACAGTTTAGAAGCATATATAACATACCCCCTCCAAACTGCCAATATCCCAAACCCCTCCTTTAAAGTGCAGGCATTGTACTTTCCATTTCCAGTACTCAAGTCCGGCTATACTATAAAAATAACCGGTTTCCCTGAATCCCTTCACTAAATATTACCCTGCTCACACTCCAAATAGCTTGTCAGGTCCCAAAAACCATTCGTCTCCATTCACTCCTATCTAACACGCTCACACATGCTTGCTGGAAGTCCAAGCCCCTCACCCACAAACCTCCTTTACCCCCTCCCTCCAACCTTTTCGAGGACGACCCCTACCTCGCCTTCCTTCCCCTACAGATTTATACGCTCTCCAAGTCATTCTACTTTGATCCATTCTCTCTAAATGACCAAACCACCTCAACAACCCCTCTTCAGCCCTCTGACTAATACTTTTATTAACTCCACACCTCCTCCTAATTTCCACACTCCAGATTCTCTGCATAATATTTACACCACACATTGCCCTTAGACAGGACATCTCCACTGCCTCCAGCCACCTCCTTGCTGCAGCATTTGCAACTCAAGCTTCACACCCATATAAGAGTGTTGGTACCACTATACTTTTGTACATTCCCTTCTTTGCCTCCATGGATAATGTATTTTGTCTCCACAGATACCTCAACGCACCACTCGCCGTTTTTCCTTCGTCAGTTCTATGGTTAACCTCATCCTTCATAAACCCATCTGCTGACAAGTCAACTCCCAAATATGTGAAAACATTTATTCTTCCATACTCCATCTCTCCAATGTGATATCCAATTTTTATTTATCTAAATCATTTGATACCCTCATCACCTTACTCTTATCTATGTTCACTTTCAACTTTTTACCTTTACACACCCTCCCAGACTTGTCCACTAACCTTTGCAACTTTTCTTTAGAATCTCCCACAAGCACGGTATCATCGGTAAAAAGTAACTGTCAACTCCCATTTTGTATTTGATTCCCCATAATTTAATCCCACCCCTCTCCTCAACACCCTAGCTTTTACTTCTTTTACAACCCCATCTATAAATATATTAAACCTACTTTTACCAGGAAGTAATCTCCCTCTCTCTTATACTATTATGTCACTAGAAACATTGGCCTGAGCCCCACCCACCTGTCTCTCCTGAGTGATAAAAGACAGGCACCTGAGCATCGCTGAGTGTGAGAAGCAAGTCCAAGAATGCTCTGAGAGGAAGACCCTTGTCCTCCTGACCCACCAGGTCAAACCCAGCTACAAAGTCTGGGAATTCTGCTCTGAGTTGCTTGACCAGAGTGATGTAACCCTCCATAGTGGAGTTGTCCACACTTTGTGGGGAAGATAAGAATACAAGCTTCATTCAGATTAAACTTACAAGTGCTTTTAAGAATGTTAGGTAAATGGACACATGCAATTAATGTGACATTTTACTGTGGCAATGTTTTGCTCTTCAGAAGCTTGGTCAAGCTGGTAACAGCTTGACAAAGTTCATGGAGAGCTTTAACTAATGTGATAATAAAATGTCACATTAGTTGCATCAGTGTCCATTTACCTATCATTTTGTCAGAAATTCTACCATTATTACTGCTCTTAAGAATGCTGTTTCAGACTTTTTTCAATATTGGCAATAAGCATGTGATTATTACTGGCAAGCAGTACAATGATACTCAAGTCAAACTCCCCAAATGTACATCAGTTAGGTATCTAGAGGCTCATGCAAATTCAGAATTCATAGCTGGATGTGTATAGTATAATGAGACTGCTCAAGATTTGGGCCAACTTTGCATTACAGGGGCCATCTTTCTTTAAATTTTGTACTAATCTGGTAAATACTAACATTCTTTATTATAATAATAATGGTAAATACTGACATTCATAAGGAAAATTTATTAGAAGGTAAGAGATCTGGGCATGGAAAATCCATTAAACCAAAATCCTATGGTTAGTTTTCAATTTAGGGGTCATACTCAAAAATAAAAAAAGATAGGGGGCACCTATAAAAATTATGAATAATCAATTTGCAGCAGGCCATTAATTAAAACATTGAATAATTAATAGATATGAATAATTTGTTTGCAACAGGCCCTTTAGATAAAGCATTGAATAATTAATAGATGTGAATTAGGAACTTCATGAATTTGGGAGCTGGACTGAATATTGAGTCTTAATCTAAGATAAACCAACAAATTAAGTTTTACTTTAGGATAACAAACTACTCGGTTTTAATCAAAGAAAACCCAATAAATTATAGTACAGTATAGTTTCAACTTAGGATAACCTCAAGCTTTAGCCTAGGATAACTTAACTAATTAAGTTCACCTAGGCACCTAGGATAACCTCAAAAATTATTAAGTTTTAATCAAGGCTAACCCAGTAAATAATTAAATTTAATTCAATGTAACTCAGCAAATCCAAATATACATTTCTGTAGATGTAAACATGAGAACATTATATCATGTTTTGTATGTCTCATTTATTTTTCTGATAAATGTAACTTTTCTTATCTCTGTACTGTGTGTGTGTGTAGTTACTAGCTGTTAAAGCACTTGTCAATAGGCACTTGGCCCATTGTGGTGTGTGCGTGTGAATCTGTGTATGGGCATGTGGTTACTAGTTTTCAAAGACACTTGTTGATAGACACTATGTGTGTGTACTCACCTATATGTCATTGCAGGGTCGAGTCACAGCTCCTGGCCCTGCCTCTTCACTGATCATTACTAGGTCCACTCCCTCCCTGCTGTAAAAGCCTTATCACACCTCTCCTTAAAGCTATGTATGGATCTTGCCTCCACTACATCACTCCCCAGATTGCTCCACTTCCTGACAACTCTAGTGCTGAAGAATTCCTAATATCCCTGTGACACATCTGAGTTTTCAGCTTCCAGTTGTGGCCTCTTTTTCCTGTGTTCCATCTCTGTAATATTCTGTCCCTGTCCACCTTGTCAATCTCTCAAATATTTTATAATTTGTTATGTCTTCCCTATCCCGCCTTTCCTCCATTATTATTATAATCATGGGGAGCACTAAACCCATAGGGATTATACAGCACCTGTGGGGGAGGGGGATGGAAGGTATTTAGGCTCAATTCAGGGAACTGGAACGCAGATTCAATTCCCTAGATCAAGAGCCCCTTACCAGCATCGAGGAAGATCCCCTGAGGGGTCCTTTCCTCCAGTGTTCTCACCTATTTCTGGTTGCAGGGGTCGAGACATAGCTCCTGGCCCCGTGTGTGTACGTGTGTGTGTTCGCTCATAGCACAGTATGTATTCGTCTTTGAAGAAAACAAAAGAGAGTAGAGTAACATCTTACTGTCGAGGTGGGGCATAGATGTATCGTGTGCCAAAATATTCATCAGGATGATCATTAAGGAAGCGCTGGGCGGTGTCTTGGTACACAGCCACCGTCTCCGTTGGGGTCAGCATTGTACCGTTGAGCTCGTACAGCTGCCAACACAGGGGTCTCATGTAAAAAACAAAGAAGATTTCTCTTATTTACGATTTTATGTTAGGTCCAGTCCTTGGACCCATTATGTGCCTCTGTAATCTTTTGAATACCACCCACAGAGTGGGCTCAGGGTGCATAATAAGATATTAAACTAAACTTACGTGTATATGTATAATTGAGGTAATCACGAACAAGCAAGATGCAAAACAACCACGGGGAGTTGAATGATAGCTCTAGGCATTTCGTGTTGCCATTAACACATCTTCAGGAGCTTGCAATGTTGTAGAAATGAGTAGAAAGTCCTGATAGATTCAAATCTACCATGATTTCCTACTCATTTCTTCAACACTGCAACTCAAAAGGCCTAGAGCTATCATTCAACTTCCCCTGTGGTTTTGCATGTATAATTATGTTGATATTAATACCATCACATCAAGAGTGAGGAGGCTGATGATGCTCCTGGATACTGACCAGAGGCAGTGTGCCCCGGAACTCCACATAGAGGATGTTATCCTCGGAGAACTCCTGCAGTGCTTTGTATAGGTAGGCCTCCCAGGCTGGCTTATACATCACCAAATCAGTTATGGCAATAAACACGCTCTCGAAGGCTGACCATACACTATTCAGGTCTGGATATTTTTCTGCAACAAGACCCAGGTAGGGATAAGCTGGAAATTGAAGAGTTATAGATGGATAATGTGGCATCTTCACACACAAGTGGATGAACTAACTACATAAAATATGCTCTATCAAAGAACTGTTCTTTAATTTAGCTATAAAACTGGCAAAATGTGAAAACTGGATATGCTCTCTAGAAATCTGGATAAAGTTTGCTGTAGGCTACCTGTAAGTTAATTTGTTTCTCTCTATGTGTATGTGTGTATAATGTATATTTTAGCTCACCTTCGGGATCATCAGTCAGCAATGAGAGTCTGGAGAGGAGCTCTTGGTCAAATTCCTGTGGCGTTGGATACGACTCCCTCACATCACTCACTCGCTCCCATTCACATGATGTGTCTGGTGTCAAGAAAAACCTGAAGAACGGAAAATAATTTAACCCGTAAACGGTCCAAACGCATATATACGTTTTTTCAACATTTGAAAGTGTGCAAAAAAAGTAGATCTTCTTTTTGTTTTTTTACATTTGAAAATGTGTAAAAAAACTTTGATCTACTTTTTTTTTTGTTATATTTGAAAATATGTAAAAAAAATGTAGATCTACTTTTGTAGCACTACACATGTGAACGTAGATCTGCTTGGACCGTTTACGGGTTAATATTGTAATACGCTATTGTGATAATAATAATATCAAAGACAGTATAGAATTATGATAATGGGAGTAGAGTAAATACAATATTACCAATGATAACACTAAATCAGTTGTGCTCTCTTGCCTAGGGTACTGTTCTGTGTTGAAAGTTCCATTAAGCAGTAGCAATACAACATACTGAAGTGAAAGATATGGGGAGAAATGTTAAATATACCCAGTGAGAAGCATGGGCACTGTGGGCACAATAAGAAAACAATATACCAACATCCATGGTCCTAGATTATTCAACATTTTACCAGATGTAGAAACAGTGCTGGAGGAAACTCAGTACCTGCGCCAAGTACCAGATCAAGCAATACCTGGAGTATGCCTTGAGGAAGTTTCGAGGGTCAATTCCCCGGCAACCTGATCTGTGACCAGGCCTCGTGGTGGATCTGGGCCTGATCAACCAGGCTGTTAATGCTGGCCGCAACCAAGCTTTGATATGTAGGTCAGCGGGTCGCCAATAGCAATAGCCAGAATGACTAGATAGGCAAGTTAGGTGGAAGGGCCAGGAGCTGACATTCAACCCTTGCAACTACTAATAGGCGAGTGCATGCACACACACACACACACACACAGAAAGGAATGATCTCATCAATAGCAGCCAACATGGTTTTAGGGATGGGAAATCCTGTGTCACAAACCTACTGGAGTTCTATGACATGGTGACAGCAATAAGACAAGAGAGAGAGGGGTAGGTGGATTGCATATTCTTGGACTGCAAGAAGGCGTTTGACACAGTTCCACACAAGAGATTAGTGCAAAAACTGGAGGACCAAGCAGGGATAGCAGGGAAGGCACTACAATGGATCAGGGAATACTTATCAGGAAGACAGCAGCGAGTCATGGTACGTGGCGAGGTGTCAAAGTGGGCACCTGTGATCAGCGGGGTCCCACAGGGGTCAGTCCTAGGACCAGTGCTGTTTCTGGTATTTGTAAACGACGTGACGGAAGGAATAGACTCCGAGGTGTCCCTGTTTGCAGATGACGTGAAGTTGATGAGAAGAATTCACTCGATCGAAGACCAGGCAGAACTACAAAGGGATCTGGACAGGCTGCAGTCCTGGTCCAGCAATTGGCTCCTGGAGTTCAATCCCACCAAGTGCAAAGTCATGAAGATTGGGGAAGGGCAAAGAAGACCGCAGATGGAATAGTCTATGGGGCCAGAGACTACAAACTTCACTCAAGGAAAAAGATCTTGGGGTGAGTATAACACCAGGCACATCTCCTGAAGCGCACATCAACCAAATAACTGCTGCAGCATATGGGTGCCTAGCAAACCTCAGAACAGCATTCCGACATCTTAATAAGGAATCGTTCAGGACCCTGTACACCGTGTACGTTAGGCCCATATTGGAGTATGCGGCACCAGTTTGGAACCCACACCTAGCCAAGCACGTAAAGAAACTAGAGAAAGTGCAAAGGCTTGCAACAAGACTAGTCCCAGAGCTAAGAGGTATGTCCTACGAGGAGAGGTTAAGGGAAATCAACCTGACGACACTGGAGGACAGGAGAGATAGGGGGAGACATGATAACGACATATAAAATACTGAGAGGAATTGACAAGGTGGACAAAGACAGGATGTTCCAGAGATTGGACACAGTAACAAGGGGACACAGTTGGAAGTTGAAGACACAGATGAATCACAGGGATGTTAGGAAGTATTTCTTCAGCCACAGTGTAGTCAGTAAGTGGAATAGTTTGGGAAGCGATGTAGTGGAGGCAGGATCCATACATAGCTTTAAGCAGAGGTATGATAAAGCTCACGGTTCAGGGAGAGTGACCTAGTAGCGACCAGTGAAGAGGCGGGGCCAGGAGCTTGGACTCGACCCCTGCAACCTCAACTAGGTGAGTACACACACAAGGCTACGAGGAAGTGAATCTGGAAAGTAGCAAGTTAAGAGGCAGTGCCAGGAGCTGAGAATCGACTTTTGCAACCACAATAGATAATTACAAATAGATGTGCACACACACAAAGTGTTTCGACATCTCAGTAAGGAGTCATTCAAGACACTTCACCGTGTACGTCAGTCAAGCACATCAAGAAATTGAAGAAAGTGCATAGGTTTGCAACATGACTAGTCCCGGAGTTAAGGGGTACACGGTAAACGGACAAAATGTTTCAGAGATGGAAATAGGAACAAGAGGGGCTCAAGTGGAAGCTGAAAACTCGGATGAGTCATACGGATGTTAGGATCTATTTCTTCAGCCTAAAAATTGTCAGGAAGTGGAACAATCTGGAGAGTGAAGTAGTACAGGCGGGATCCATACATAGCTTTAAGTAGAGGTACGACAATGATTTTGAAGTCGGGAGAATGGACCTAGTAGCGTCCAGCAAAGAGGCGGGGCCAGGAGCTTCAACTCGACTCCTGTAACCACATATAGGTAAGTACACAGCATGGCATTGTGTGCGCACTGGGCAAACTTAAAGGCATTCAGCTTTCAAGTACCTCAACAGAGTCTATCAGGGCTCTGTACATGATTCAGGTCTGACCTGTCACTGAGTACACAGCGCCAGCATGGAACCCCCACCCGAGAAAACATGTCTAAAAATAAAAAAATAAATGTTCACTGAAATTCACTATGCGACTAGACCCGTAGCTAAGACGAATGAGAGACTGAACCAAACCGTACAACGATGAAAGAAAGAAGAACCAGAGAAAACATGATTACAACATACAAGATACTTAGAGGTATCCTCAGAGAAAAAAAAAGACTGCTGAAAAGATCCGAGGGGGGGCATAAATGGAAGTGATGGAAGCAGTCATATTATATGCAGATTAACCCCTCGAGGAAGGTTCCTTGATGCAAGGAATTAGACTTGTTCTTCCCTTCCTTGTATCGAACCTGATTTCCTCCCTTTCCTCAGGAGTTGTACGACTCGTGTGTTTAGCACTTCCCCGTAAATATACCAATAAAAGCTAACTCTCCCAAGCACAGATAATAATGTACATGTAATGAAGCTAGAATTCATTTCGACAAAAGCACCCAGAGGTGAGTACAGTACTTACAGATGAGTACAGGAAAACACTCACTTAAAGAGCAGTTGGTTCTCTGGAGTATAGCAGAGATAAAGGTCGGGCCAGTAGGTGATCTCCTCGACTACCCAGCCGGCGGAGGCCAGGGCGGTGTCGTGAAGGTGGAGTGCTGCACCTGAACAACACTTTATCTGAATTAATACCCTGGGGGAGGAAGGTGTTCGTTTGGCTCTTCCCTCAAGATGCAACACAAAAATCGACTAACTCCTAGATATCGCTATTCACTCCAAGGTAAATGGAGGTTCAGGTGTTAGAACCCTCACCCAGCCTTCGACCCGGGTACTTTCTGTTGAGCCAAACATGTTACTATTATGCTACAAGGCCCCTTCAAACCACGACAGTGTTTCCCAAGAGCTTAAGCTCAGCCACCAGGAGAAGCAGGCAAAAACCAAGTAATTATATCGCGCTTCTTCTCTTCCCTCCTTAATTCGGAGAACTGGAGCACAGATCCAATTCCCTAAATCAAGAGCCCCTCACCAACATCAAGGAACCTTCCTTGAGGGGCACGACTCCGGGGATCAGGGGGTAAGGTACGGCTGTCACATTATTATTATAATCATGGGGAGCGCTAAATCCGTAGGATTATACAGCGCATGTAGGGGGGATGGAAGGTATTCAGGCTCAATTCAGGGAACTGGAGCACAGATCCAATTCACTTGATCAAGAGCCCATCGCCAGCGTCAAGGAACCTCCCTTGAGGGGGCGGCTGTCACAACCCGCGTCAGGAAACAGGACAAGCATTTCCTAACGCGGGTCTTAGTTATATGATGACCTACAGCTGGAGTTCCTGGTCATCTGACCGAAGCCTTCAACTGGCTCACCGGTCCACCCTTTTAAAAATTAAGGTTATAATTATAACCATTTTTACAGCTCTATATAAATTGCTTAAATTTATATACAGCGCTGCATGACCCTTGCAGATTTAGCGCTTAGTTTTGATTAATAATAACGATAAATTTATGTGACGGTCACCTCACTATTAAGGTAACCATCGCCTTCCCGCGCTGTATAATCCTCCGGGTTTAACGCTTCCCCTTGATTATAATAATAATCCGGAGTCGTGCTCAAACAATTCACTCCTTATCACATTATAGATCACCTATTCCCTTTTACAAGATAAAATGGTACCTTTTGGAATCTCCCGGATGATTTTGAATACTTCCGAGGCTTCGATCTCCTTCTTGGCTAACAAAAAATTTTTGGATGGGAGAAAGTCGAGCGTTTCGAAGCCTTCGTTCATCTCCTTCATTTTAGCCGTCATTATTCTCTCGTTGACCACTTGTTCCTCCAGTGTTAACACTTGATCCTGACCTGCAATATAACCACCATATATTTAACATAATATACCTGCCAATGTTTAGCGATCACAGCATAATATAATCAATGACTGAGTCAACACATCAACTATTACTAATCTGTTCCGAATAAAACTTATGTTTTTTTTAATTAAGATAGCAAAGATTGTTTTAATGACGTCTATTAACTACGTATTTAATTTATATATTTTCTAGATAGATTATTCAAGATTTTATTATTTATAAAAAAATACTGTTAATTTTACGTAGACTCAAATTGTTACACTGGTAATATTTGATAACTATTTTATACATAGTTGTTAAGAAATTATGTAATTTTTTAACAAGGGTTAATACTATTATATATAAATCAGTATTAGAGCGTTTGGCTTACAATGGAAAGGACCCATGTTCGATTCTCAAGCGGAGAGAGAAGTTCCGGTCCCCTTACATTTCCTGCCCAAGATTAGCTACTAGTCAGTAAGTACTGCAACCTAGAAGTTACTCGACTCCTGTGGGTAGTATCCTAGGAAATTATTTCAGTAGAAATAAGTCATGCGACATGATACTGCTGGGTCAGTCTGGGCTGCTGACCCTACTAGGTTAAATATTTCCAAGAATGTTTTCTTGTACCCACCCAATATAGCGGTCTGCTCCTGGGCCAACAACATTTCCCTTTGCTTCACGAATTCCTCCACGTTCATGGTATGGGTGGTAGGCGCCCACACCATCACCACCATGACAACTACCATGACCCTCACTAGCAAGCACAGTCTCTCCATCGTGTTCAACCTCTTGTCCTCACTGCCTGCACCACTGACCTGTTGAAGAGTCACACAGGGTTAGTTGTGCCGCCTGAGCGGCTACCTGGAGAGGGTTTTGGGGGGTCAACGCCCCCGCGGCTCGTTCTGAGACCAAGCCCGGCTGGTCAGGTACAGGTAGTACAAAAATAAGAATGATGCAGGTCACAATGGGTCTTTGTCAGTAGATTTACATTGGAAGTTACTGTCTGGTCGGAATTAAAAACATTTTATATGTACACTAAACCAGTTTTAGTCAGGTTACAATAGGTTAATATACACATGAATCTAACCTAGCACAACATGGCCGAGCCTAATGAAGTATAACATAACCTAATCTAACCTAGAACATAGCCTAACCTAATCTACAGTAACAAATAGGTTAGGTTAGGTTCGTGAGAAAACAGGACAAGTGTTTCCTGACGCAGGTCTTAAGTCATATGATGACCCACAGCTGGAGCTTTTGGTCATCCGACTGAGGCCTTCCAGTGGCTTACCGGTCTACCCTTTTAAAAATATTGCTAATATTAATTAACAAATATTTACGGTTTGATGTTATATAGATTATGCAATAATACACGAAAAGCACTGAGTGCAAAAAAGCACCAATTCTTTGACCGGGCTAGGGTTTGAAATGGGCTTGATTGCTAGCGCACTCAGGTCTGGGGATCGATCCCTAGTACGGCTGCCAAACGTTAGATCGTGTTTCCTTAAGTCACCTGTTGTCCTTGTTCACCCATCAGTAAAATGGGTACCTGTGTGTTAGTCGACTGGTATGCACTGCATCCTGGGACAAAATTGACTTAATTTGCCCGAAATACTCAGCATAACAAGCGGCTTTCTATACAGTAGTATGTCACTGATGTCAGCTATGGCCTATATACCTTGTACATGTACTTGTAGAAATATTATTATTATTATCCTGTAAATTCAGCTGCAGTATCCCTTCTTTTTTATCAGTCTCCGTACAGGAGACTGATAAAAGAGAAGTGGCTACACGTGGTGGTATACGAGAAATTCTCTCATGGATGTAGGTATGACTGACCGATAGGCGAGAGATAATTACCATATGGCTGGGCTCTGAAAATGGAATATACACATGCTGTTTTATTCCAGACATGTTACTTATGTCTGGAGAAACAGCAAATAGGTTCTGATTCGTTAGTTCGTAAATATTGAAATTCTTATTTATACGAGTAAAAATAACCTAGAATCTGTGGACGGGTTGGCATAAATTGGGTAAAAATAATATAATAATAATCTTCATTTTTACAAATACATCTACAAAGTATACAGACCTAGTTGGTATCAATGACATATTTGTTATATAAAAAGCCTCTTGTTATGCAGAGCATTTTGGCAAATTAGGTTTTGTCCCCAGGATGCTACCCACGCTAGTCGGCTAACATCCACGTACGTATTCATTTCTGGGTGAACAAGGACAGCATGTGTCTTAAGGAAATGCCCTGTTTCCACCCGTACCGAGTGTCGAACCACGGACCACAATGTGTGAGCTGAGTGCGCTAGCAACCGTTCACGGGGGTAATTTTTGGGACCGTTGCTGTTCACATGATACATAGACGAGAAAATATATAGCGACATAAGCAAGTTTGTACTTAAAAAAGAATAATCCACAAATGAGATCGATGTTCTCTAATATATAGACTGTTAGCGTCGGTCTACAATTGCCCCTCATACAGCTAAAAGGTTGTATGGCCTTTTAACAGATAGTTTAAGTAACAGAATCAAACAGCAAGACTACAGCTGTAGTTATCACTAATAGGATTGTTTACATTATAGACCCCGGGTCTGGTCATCATATTATAGCATGGAAATACATTTGTTTAAAGGATAAAAAGTCACAATACAGTGGCTGAAACATATCACCAAAATCCCTCCCTTATAACAACGTTTGTCTGACCTGAACCATTTTTTCAGTTGTAACTTGACAATGGTCCAGGACGGAACGAAACTTCGTCATAAGAGTCCTCACCTAAATGTAAATTTTCAGTGAATATTTTTTGGAAAAATCTTAAAAAGAAGAATGACAAATTAAAGTCACTGAAGTTACATTATCAAGAAAGGCAGACAATGAGGGGTTAGTTGATTAATATGTTCAAATGCAAGAAATATAAAGGTATGCTTAAAAATTATAAAATATAAAATGTACATTTAACTCAAAAACAGTGAATCTTACAATGTAGGGAAGCATTGATATAGCAATAGGGATTAAAATAAACTGTGTGTGTGTGTGTGTGTATACTGAAGATATATAACTCGGTGTATATACCTTATTGTTTGACTAAAAACTGCAGCCCAATCACTATTTTTTACAGGAAATGATCAAGGGTAATTCTATGATATTATTTTTTCCCATATCACCAGATACTTAGTTTTTGAAGTAAACTTTATTTGGAGTATTCACCCCAGAAGGTTAAACCCAGGATACCCCCTCCCCCCCTAAAAAAAAAAACTAATTCTGTTACCATTGAATCCTAAAGTCCTCCTCCAGGATGCAACCCACGATAGACTAACACCCAGGTATCTATTTACGGCTGGGTGAATAGGCGACTTGTCTATACGTTCTACCACTCGCAAGAATGAACTTTGGTCCTTCGTTTGTGACCGAACGAGGCATTATAAACATACATTATCCTAACAAAAATATTAACAATGGTTGAACCTGGCCAAGAGTGAGTCTGATTACATGGGGAGAAAATGAGGTGAACACAGCTTGCCCTGAATTCTTAAAGACGCCAGCTACTGCTGTACCCTCAATAAATGTTAACAAGGTTTAGATAAGAGATAAAGTATCTCAGATAATCTCTCTAGTGCGCAGTACTGACAACAAGCAAGGTGTTGGTTTTCAAACCCATATGTTTACAGTAATGTCAAATTGGGTTGATTTTTTTTTAATTCGAAATAGACAAAGAAATGGTAGCCTGTTGCCAAAATAAATTATTAACCCCGATGGGTGGTAACTATCCTGAACTACTGGAAAAGATATTTAGCTGAACAGAAGAGATTTAGGTTAAGTGTTCAGACGTCAGTATCAGTTAGTGGTTATGTGCTCAGAAATCACTTACAATTACGTGCCCGGAGGTCAGTAGTAGTTACGTGGTCAAAGGCAAGCAACAGTTCATGTTTAGACAAAGGTATCAGTTACGTGTTCAAGGATTAAGTGCAGTTATAAATACAAATTAATTTCAATATGATACACTGTTTATACAGTGTTGTAGTATGTTGAAAGTCCATTGTTATGCAAAGCATCTCGGCAACTACTCACCTGACCTGTGATCAAGTTATAATTTATTTCGAAATCACATTTGACCTATGCTGCTGTTAGCTAAATGAAGTATATTTAATAACTTCTTAAATTCATCTGTCCATTTTAACAGTTGTGAATTAGTAGGCCTAACTCAAGAAATCGTAATCACACGTACCGTGGTTAGTAGGCCTAAGTAGAAACTATCAACATGATGGTTCCTGCAACTTCCGGGGTTGTCACCACCCGCGACCTAGTTACCCAGGACTCCTGGCGTGATCAGTCAGGCTATTAGTGCCATCAATTTGCCCAACGTCTACATTATAGCCTGGCTGATCAGACGCTGCCTGGAGGAGCCCATCAAGTTCCCTCTCGAAGACAGATAGGGGTCTGATAGTATTATTATATTCACGATAAAGCGCTAAACCCATGTAGTCAATACGTGTCATACAGCGCCTAGGCAATAGAAGGTAATCAGATTCGAGCCAAGGAAATGTAGAGTAGTTCAATTCCTTACAAAGACAAGTGAGCAAACACTAAAGACACATTAGAAATCGCTTCGGTTTCTTGATCAAGGTGCTAGAACAGATACGTTTTCCATTAATTATGCCTGTGAGTCTTAGTACTCACTTGCCATGGGTTCCAGCACCTCACCCGTTCCTTGGTTGATTCGCCTTAGTGTTTACTAAAGTATCTTTTAAAACCACCACAAACAGAACTCTTTTGAAGGGGACTCTGTGACGAAAAAAGGTGAAAGAAATCGGTGCTAAATTGTGTATGGATGCAGTAGTGCTGCGTGAGCAACGTGTTAGGTCTTCATTTTCCTTTTGATAAGATTCGAGGTCAGTTGCTGTCACTCGTTATCTGTGTTGTCCGTATTGTATACAAAGGAAAATACTGGTCAGTGATCAGCTTGAAACAGAGAGAATTTTCCTTGATACCAGTACTAGGTTTGGGGCTGGCTAAGACGTCTGCATCAGTGACAGACGATGCCAAGGTTAGGTTATGTAATGTTTATCAGAAAACTGGACAAGTGTTTCCCGACGCGAGTCTTAGTCATATGATGACCAGCAGCTGGAGCTTTTGGTCATCTGACCGAGGCCTCCCACTGGCTTACTTGTCCACCTCTTTAAAAATTATGATTATGATTATAACCATTAAGTGCCGAGGACTGATAGAAAGATCACACTTAGTAAAAGCAAGGCCATTTATTAAATACGATGTTTCACCTACAAGAGGCTTTATCAAGTACTTGATGAAGCCTTTTATAAGTAAAACATCGTATTTAATAAAAAGTCTGAGTTTGTTATACTTGATCTTTAAGTACTTTCCAGTGAGCTTCACCTCACTGCAAGTACCTAGGTCTGGAGTTTACCTGGAGAGTTCCGGGGGTCAACGCCCCCGCGGCCCGGTCTGTGACCAGGCCTCCTGGTGGATCAGAGCCTGATTAACCAGGCTGTTACTGCTGGCTGCACGCAAACCAACGTACGAGCCACAGCCCGGCTGGTCAGGAGCCGACTTTAGGTGCTTGTCCAGTGCCAGCTTGAAGACTGCCAGGGGGCTGTTGGTAATCCCCCTTATGTATGCTGGGAGGCAGTTGAACAGTCTCGGGCCCCTGACACTTATTGTATGGTCTCTTAACGTGCTTTTCATTGGGGGGATGTTGCATCGTCTGCTAAGTCTTTTGCTTTCGTAGTGAGTGATTTTATGAAAAAAAAAAACATCCAGCTGTTTCAAAGATATGGGTTGCTTAACAAAGATATTAACCTGAACTGTCAACTGGTGTGATTTTTGACTCCCCATGTATCACCCACCTTAAGCTACGCTTAAACCAACTGATTTGAAGGATACACACTCCATGTATCACCTACCTTCATCTACACTTACAAGAACAAGAATGAACACTGCAGTAGGCTTATTGATCCATGCTAAACAAATCTAACTGTCGTAAAAAGATCAGTAAGACAATAGATTAATCACTTCGTCAATCTAACCCACACTAAACACCAGCCATGTTATGTTTAGTCGTTATATGGAAATTACCGCTTCTGATGGGGCTGTCACCAGTGTGCTTTGGTTGAAAATTCTGGGCGAGCGTCTGGAACGGCTCCAACTCTGCTGCTTAGATACACAATGTAAGCCGACAAAATTACCAGCGAAATGCAGATTTGCGCAAATCCTAATACCTTGGGGTACAATGACGGCTTACCTGTTGTGACTCGGAAGTCTTCCAGATGTCTGTTGCACCCGAATGCTGTATAGCCATTGTGGCTTAGCGCTTCTTTTTGATTATAATAATAATGTTGCACCCGAATACCATTAGTCACTAATACTCTCACCGGTAGCTTAAGAGTCGTGCATTGATCCCGGATTTCTTGCATGTAATCTTTTCGTACGATAATACAGATAACCAATAGGGGATACCATTTAGAAACTGAAGTCTACGGCATCTAATGGCGCTTGGCACATATGATGCTAAGTAGCCTATAAAGAACGACATCGTCGGTACTAGGCTCTTGACACATTCTTAGCTTAACTGTTTGGTAACTGTTAGTTAAATATCTTGCAATTACCGTGACTTATTGTTGCAACAAACGAAACGTTGCCACAACAAAACGTCATATTAGTTAAGAGAGAGATAAGATTTCGTTCAGATTTTTAACCCCGGAGGGTTAGCCACCCATGATAACCCAAGAAAGTCAGCACGTCATCGAGAACTGTCTTATTTCCGTTGGGGGTCCTTCAGTCTTCTCCCCCAGGATGCGACCCACACCAGTCGACTAACACCCAAGTACCTACTTACTGCAAGGTGAACGAGGAGAGCAGGTGTAAGGAAACACGCCTAATGTTTCCACCCGGCCAGGTAATTCTTCCATCATTACTAACCTGACTGTGTAAACTAAATTCTTAGACTTGGTTCCAGCTTACGACTTATTAGCCTTATAATCAAGGTTTAGGGCGGAGGCATGGCAATGTCGCAATACGTCACAAGCCAACTCACAAAGGTGCCGTTACAATCACACTGAAAACTCGGGATTTTCAACACCAACTACACCCACTCATATACAAAGTTCTTGCCTCTGAAGTTACTTGTAAATTTTCCACTGATTTAAATTATTATTATAATAAAAACTAAGCACTAAACTCACAAGGGTCATACAACCCACTGATCTAAAAACTACTCCCAAAACAGTATTTCCCTATGACCTTTCTAAGTCTAAATTCGTCCAACATGAATCCATTGCTGCGAGTCCTATCTCGGTTAAATACTTTTAGCACGCTTTATTTATTTATTTATTCCTGCTGTCCATCAAGTGCCATACTGAACGTGTGATAGAGGACCCCAATGGAAATAAGTCTGACGTTTTTGGGGCTATCCTAGGTTCTCTGCACATATGCTGCTATGTATGATAATCTATGTAACTCTATTTGTGTAAGCCTGAATAAACTTACATAATATCCTGCTAAGTTTAGGTCTTTCCAGAGAGTGCAGATTTACTGCTTTTAGCCTATCTTCGTAGGAAAGGTTTCTGATACATAGGAACAATGTCATCCTCATCGTCAACCACTAGTGACAGTGATGACACAAAAATAGTACCAACTTTACCAATAAAACCACCTCCTGAAAATAATTTGTTGAATATAAATAATAAATGCTCACTGCACAGATCGCAGTATTCTATTATATATATATATATTATATATATATATATATATATATATATATATATATATATATATATATATATATATATATTATTAACACACTGGCCGATTCCCACCAAGGCAGGGTGGCCCGAAAAAGAAAAACTTTCACCATCATTCACTCCATCACTGTCTTGCCAGAAGGGTGCTTTACACTACAGTTTTTAAACTGCAACATTAACACCCCTCCTTCAGAGTGCAGGCACTGTACTTCCCATCTCCAGGACTCAAGTCCGGCCTGCCGGTTTCCCTGAACCCCTTCATAAATGTTACTTTGCTCACACTCCAACAGCACGTCAAGTATTAAAAACCATTTGTCTCCATTCACTCCTATCAAACACGCTCTCGCATACCTGCTGGAAGTCCAAGCCCCTCGCACACAAAACCTCCTTTACCCCTCCCTCCAACCTTTCCTAGGCCGACCCCTACCCCGCCTTCCTTCCACTACAGACTGATACACTCTTGAAGTCATTCTGTTCCGCTCCATTCTCTCTACATGTCCGATCCACCTCAACAACCCTTCCTCAGCCCTCTGGACAACAGTTTTGATAATCCCGCACCTCCTCCTAACTTCCAAACTACGAATTCTCTGCATTATATTCACACCACACATTGCCCTCAGACATGACATCTCCACTGCTTCCAGCCTTCTCCTCGCTGCAACATTCATCACCCATGCTTCACATCCATATAAGAGCGTTGGTAAAACTATACTCTCATACATTCTCCTCTTTGCCTCCAAGGACAAAGTTCTTTGTCTCCACAGACTCCTAAGTGCACCGCTCACCCTTTTCCCCTCATCAATTCTATGATTCACCTCATCTTTCATAGACCCATCCGCTGGCACGTCCACTCCCAAATATCTAAATACATTCACCTCCTCCATACTCCCTCCAATCTGATATCCAATCTTTCATCACCTAATCTTTTTGTTATCCTCATAACCTTACTCTTTCTTGCATTCACTTTTAATTTTCTTCTTTTGCATACCCTACCAAAGTCATCCACCAACCTCTGCAACTTCTCTTCAGAATCTCCCAAGAGCACAGTGTCATCAGCAAAGAGCAACTGTAACAACTCCCACTTGACCCCCCGTTGACCCCCGGAACTCTCTCCAGGTAAACTCCAGGTTATGTGTGAATCTTTATCTTTTAACTCCACGCTCTTGCCAAGACCCTCGCATTTACTTATCTTACAACCCCATCTATAAATATATTAAACAACCACGGTGACATCACACATCCTTGTCTAAGGCCTACTTTTACTGGGAAATAATCTCCCTCTTTCCTACATACTCTAACTTGAGGCTCACTATCCTCGTAAAAACTCTTCACTGCTTTCAGTAACCTACCTCCTACACCATACACCTGCAACATCTGCCACATTGCCCCCCTATCCACCCTGTCATACGCCTTTTCCAAATCCATAAATGCCACAAAAACCTCTTTAGCCTTATCTAAATACTGTTCACTTATATGTTTCACTGTAAACACCTGCTCCACACACCCCCTACCTTTCCTAAAGTCTCCTTGTTCATCTGCTATCCTATTCTCCGTCTTACTCTTAATTCTTTCAATAATAACTCTACCATACACTTTACCAGGTATACTCAACAGACTTATCCCCCTATAATTTTTGCACTCTCTTTTGTCCCCTTTGCCTTTATACAAAGGAACTATGCATGCTCTCTGCCAATCCCTAGGTACCTTACCCTCTTCCATACATTTATTAAATAATTGCACCAACCACTCCAAAACTATATCCCCACCTGCTTTTAACATTTCTATCTTTATCCATCAATCCCGCCTGCTTTACCCCCTTTCATTTTACCTACTGCCTCACGAACTTCCCCACACTCACAACTGGCTCTTCCTCACTCCTACAAGATGTTATTATATTATATTATATATATATATAATATATATATATTATATATTATATAATATATATATATATATATATATATATATATATATATATATATATATATATATATATATATATATATATATGGGGAAGCGCCCGAAAAATGGAAAATAATAAAGTATGATACGAGGAAAAGAAAGGATCATTGCAATTCCCTTCACCAGCATCAGGGCACCCCTCTTCCCCTCCCCCTAGAAGGGGAACACAGTGCCCGAGGTCGCTACTTCAGCACCACAGCAACCTCACATAAGATAAGATAAGATAAGATTTCGTTCGGATTTTTAACCCCGGAGGGTTAGCCACCCAGGATAACCCAAGAAAGTCAGTGCGTCAGCGAGAACTGTCTAACTTATTTCCATTGGGGTCCTTAATCTTGTCCCCCAGGATGCGACCCACACCAGTCGACTAACACCCAGGTACCTATTTTCTGCTAGGTGAACAGGACAACAGGTGTCGACTACACGAGGACTATCAAGGCTGCGTATCACCTTAATACCACCAATCAAGGGCACTGTCATCCCCATAATAATGATAATAGCATACAGAATATATACACTGGGAAATATACGTGTATGTTGCGTACAGGTATATACGTATCCTGAATGAACATAAAAATGGTATACAATACCGACAGGTTGTTAGGTAAGACACATATGCAACAGTTAGACAACTTTATTCCGAAACGTTTCGCCTACACAGTAGGCTTCTTCAGTCGAATACAGAAAGTAGGCAGGAACATCTCTACTGTTCCTGCCTACTTTCTGTATTCGACTGAAGAAGCCTACTGTGTAGGCGAAACGTTTCGGAATAAAGTTGTCTAACTGTTGCATATGTGTCTTACCTAACATATACGTATCCTAGAATGAAATGAAGAAAAGACAAATGGGAAGAGCAAACTTTTCTTGTGACTGACAACGTTTCGCTATATTTACAGAAACATCATAATGAAAATTTGTTCTACAGTGTCTTTTCTGCATTACTGTAGGCAATACACCTTTGTTAAGTAAGTTCCCACAATTGTCAAAACTATGGAAGAAAGTAACTAATTACCAACAAGTGATTGTCGCAGTTGATATAAAGTAGAGATAACCAAGTGCCAGCCTCACCTGAGGTTGAAGCCTTGGGGAATGGGATTAGTTGTTGTTGCTTCAGGTGTCTGTGCTCCAGTGAGCTGGCCAACGCTATCCTAAAGACTCACCTCTCTTAGATAAGATCTATACGCTGCCAAGGACGACCGGGTAACTAACCTTATGGTCGCTTTTTAGTGATTGCCTATTTGTGGAGACCTCTTTGTAGTTACAAGAGTAGTATTATAATTGTGGTGTCCTTGTAGTTGTATGAGTAGGAATATGTTCATGATATTCGTCTTAGTAGGTACAGCAGTAACTCTGTAGTGTCTATAACTACGGGGGTAGAGCTATGTTCGGACTGAATTTTCGTCTTCAATTTGTCAGTTAGTTGTAAATTGTTCCAGCCATGGTATTCTGGAATGGTTTTTAATGGTTCCAGCCACGGTATTCTGGGTTAGTTGTGAATTGTTCAAGCATGGTACTGTAAACTGCGAATTGTTCCTGCTACCATAATGTGGCTTATTCTTCATATGGAGTTTTTCTTCATTTAGTTTAGTAATTTTATTATGCACCCCATTACCCATCCTCTGGGCCTTAGTTAAAAGATTGAAGAGGCACATAATGGGTCCAGGGACTAGTCCTCAAAGTCTTAACAGATAAGCAATTTAGAATGGTAATGAGCTAACATGTTCACTGTATTCTGTAAATATCATCCTCCCACAACAATGTGGATTTGCCATTAGTTGAGAAGCATCGAGCTTAAACTTAGCGAAAGGAATAAGAACATAAGAAAGAAAGGAGCACTGCAACAGGCCTACTGGCCCATGCTAAGCAGGTTCAGGTCACACCCACTTAAGAAGGAAGGAGCACTGATGCAGGCCTATTGACCCAAGCTGAGCAGGTCCAACTCACACCCACTCATGTACTTATCTAACCTTTTAAAGCTACTCAGTGTTTAAGCTTCAGTAACTACTCGGGAGTTTGCTCCATTCATCCACACCATTACCAAACCAATGCTTTCTTATATCCTTTCTAAGTCTAAATGTTTCAAACTTGAACCCATTACTGCGAGTTCTGTCTTGGTTAAATATTTTTAACACATTACTGTATTTACATCCCTTTTTGTCCTGTTTTCCATTTATACACCTCAATCATATCCTCACTTAATTCTACGCCTTTCTAGAGAGTACAGATTCAGTACCCTCAATCTACCCTTGTAGAAAACATTTCTGATATATGGGATCAACGTTGTCGTCCTTCTTTGTACGTGCAGCATAATCTTAGTGAGGCCCAACCAACGATATATAGAGTTGAAGAATAACCTGAGGACTCCTGTTATTTATACGTCTTGATATGAAGCCAAGAATCTATTCGTTTTATTGTGAACACTTACTGTTATTTTTAGATTACTGCTAACCAGAATTAAATCTTTTTCGCAGAGTAAGATCTACGTTATTAAGTTTATAAGCGTCATGGTTTTCTTCTCCATGGCTTACAACTTTGCATTAATCTTTTAATCGTCTTCCTTGCTGAGAATAGAACAAGCCAATCTCTTTCTGGCATCTTGTTTGACCTTTAATATCGCCAGTGTAGTAACGGGAGATTGTCATAGCTAGTGGTAGCAGCACAAGCATTGATTAACTCATTTTCTTAGTTTTCTCTGTATTAGTTCTGAAGAAGTCACTCGTGGCGAAACGTTTCCTTTAATAAATATCCTGAACTGTACATAAGTATCTTTTACCACGCTAACTCATTTGATTTATGTAGAGGATAAGGGTGCAAGACCTGACCAGTCAATTTTACGCTTAAATCTATTTATATCCCTCCATGCTCCGCTAATAGGGTGTGATCATCGAGACCATTAACAACCGGGTAACACCTGAGCGTGTTCCGGGGGTCAACGCCCCTGCGGCCCTGTCCATACTGGCAACAAGGGAAGATTTATAGCATTTTAGGGCTACAGTTTTCATGGATTGTTGCACGAAAATTAATATTTAAATTTTACAGCTTCCTCAATAAAACTCTCAAATTGGCACCTACACAGCCCATGATCGATTGAACAAAATCAAAGATATACATTTAGGTCCTGAATCTGATCAGAAGAAAGCTAAACAAGTAAAATTTTTTAGGCACAAGTACAAATAAGTACAGTTATCATACACAGTGTAAATTATCTAGGATAACCAAAAACAGTCAAAGTGACTTATTTCCATTAGCGTCCAGATATCAAATGGTAGCTAAAGATGCCAATATAAACACAAATGCAGTATAATGTGATCCTTTATTGACTACGTTTCGCCCACACAGTGTAGTCAATAAAGGATCACATTATACTGCATTTGTGTTTATATTGCCATTGTGTCGGTATTTTATACCATTTATTTCCAGCTAAAGATGCAGATGAGACAGATGTTAGCAAGCACTTTTTCACTCTTACTGGATGGTGGAGGTAAACACAGCTTCATGACTGGATGTGATCAGGCCTTGGTGAACAGGAATCAGTAAAACTAATCGATGAGAGTCACGAATCGTGGTCAGGAGCCATGGTTCAACCCCTGCAAATAAATCTAGGTAAATACAACTATGTTGTTATAATTATTAGGAGTACATGTAGGTGAGTACAAGACATGTGCCTACCCTTCAACCAGCAAGAGTACATTTACGTGAGTACAAGACATATACCCACCCACTGGAGTTCCGCAGGGAAGTGTCCTTGGACCCCTGCTCTTCCTCATATACATCAATGATCTTCCAAACGTATCCCAACACCTAAAACCCATTCTCTTTGCTTATGACACGACTTATGTCATCTCTCACCCTAATCTTGCCACCCTCAACACCATTGTTAACGAGGAGCTGATCAAAATATCGACCTGGATGACAGCCAATAAACTTACGCTTAACACTGACAAAACCTTACTATATTATGTTTGGTAGCAGAGCAGGAGATGCACAAATTAACATTAATATCGACAACACTCTAATTACCAGACTTTAATGAGGGCAAATTCCTAGGCCTATACCTTGACAACAACCTGAATTTCAGCACCCATATCCAACACATAACCAAAAAAGTATCCAAAACGGTTGGGATCCTCTCCAAGATACAACACTACGTGCCGCAAAATGCCCTTCTCACACTATACCACTCACTTATTTATCCATACCTCACCTATGCTATTTGTGCTTGGGGATCAACTGCAGCAACACACCTAAAGCCAATAATAACCCAACAAAAAGCCGCAGTAAGAATAATCAATTCGTCTCTCAACCTCTGGGACGAGCGGACGTGAGCTGAGCCTGCCCTCTGCTGTCAGCCGGTGAAAACTTGGTTTTCTCAAAATGGCGCAGCAGGCAAGAAGGGTAAACACTGTTGGCATAGAAGTGGTGCGTGGGGCTGTGCATGCCCACTCAGCTCAAGTTTTATTACCTGCCATCATCAGGGACACATACGGCATTGCCAACGAAGAGCTGTAGGGTTTGTACCCTTGAACGGGGCATATAGAATTTTTGTGAAATTTCCAATGAAAAGTGTATACGGGGACATAGTCGCCAGGTTCCAAGATCTTTGTGTACCAGTGAATCCTGCAGTGACGGTAAGGCTACATGATGTGTCCCGCTATTATACGTGGGTGGAAGATCAGAAATGTACCCTTTGAGGCTGATGAGGCAGACCTAGTGCCGTTTTCGAGAAGTTTGGGACTGTTATATGGTGACATTGGGGAAGTGGAAGGGAAAGGGATCGTATGCTGGGATCCCTGAAGGAAGTTTTTCCTTAAAAATGACATTGAGGATCCTATTCCTTCCTATTTTTTCTTAGAAGACTTTAGGACTCAAGTAATGGTGACTTACGCAGGGCAACGACGTACCTGTCGATTATGGGGGGTGCCTATGATCACATTCCCTGCACGTGTGTTAAACAACAGGGTACACAGGCGAAGGAGCGCATAAGGAGGCATCAGAGGACCTTGAGACGTTGAATTTGGCACGGCCTGAGTGGGTTTTCCCTTTTGAACAAGGCTTGGAGTGTGGAGGTCGAGGAGGCCTTGAGGGAGGAAGAGTGTGTAACTCTTTCAAGAGAGTCATGCATGCCGGGCAGGGCACCGGAGCCCAAAAGATGTGTGTCACTTGGTGGGACAGGGCCGTGGAGGCTACCATTGATTCAGTCCCCCACGACCTGTTAGGACCCCAGGAGAGGTCACAGTTGAGGGGCTTGTGGGTGCCCTTTGGATGCTGCTGGGGTTCCCAGGTGGTGAGAGGGGGGGAGGCATGTCAGAGACCCAGGTTGAGGCTGGGTTGCAAATTGGCACGGTGGTGGCGGAAGTGCACGGGAATGGCTTCCGGGTGGAGGCGGGGAGAAAGGCTCGAGTGTCACGGAAGAGAGCGGCAGTGCCCTCGGACATGAACGATGTGCTCACTCCGGCCCCGCGTTGGGCAAAAAGGTTTGGGCTGAAGTGGTTGAGCATGGACCTGGGGGGCCCAGGGCAAGGGCATGTGAAAGCAGATCACAGAATGGTGTTTGAAGATCAAGGGCTATAAAGGGAAGGGGAATAAAGGTGGTGCAATACGTAAAGGAAAACCTCCATGACAAATTCAAGAGTCTCTCTATAAATGTTAATGGTCTGAAAAATTCTAGGAAGTGTGTTTGGTTTCATGAGTTGCTCATTAGGTATGGTGTAGATGTTAGTGTTTGTGCAAGAGCACAACCACAAGCTGGGTTGTATGTTGATGATTGAGGGGTATACTGTATATGCGGCAAACTAAACGAGATTGAAAGGTGGGAGTGGCTATTTTGGTGTGGGAGGTTTAGCCCGTTTATGTACATCATTGTGAGGGAGGGGTGAGGGGAGGGTTATAAGAGTGGATGGGACATGGGGAAGAGATAAGATGTCTTTTGTGTTTTGTTTTTGGCCCGCGGAGGGGGGACAGTCGAGTGAAGAATGGTTTGTACGTGAAGTGTTGGTGTATCACTTAAGGTCGCTTCCAGCATTAGCGTGGTGGAGGGGACTGGAATTGCGTTTACGCCGCAAGGATGTGGAACTTAGGGGAGCAGGATATTGTTCTGGCGTTCTGAGGGACCTTTTTAACCGGGGTGGGGTTGGTG